GTTGGATATCAGGGAGGGATAAGCCCCCCCCCTTTTTTGTCATCTATCAAATTTTTATGGTTTATTCTCTGTTTTTTACCTTTCCATATGAATTTGGAGATTTCTTTTTGCCAATTATTGATTAGGGTTTTTGATCTCAGAACTGGTAGTGACTGGAACAGAAATAATACATCTGGTAAGATGTTCATTTTTACAGTGGCAATCCTGCCTAATAGTGAGAGGTTTAGGGAATTCCATGAGTTCATTTTCTTCTTTATTTCTTTCCATTTCTTTTCGTAGTTGTTCTTTATCAGGTGAGTGTTGTTTGATGATATTACTATTCCTAGATATTTTGTTTCTTGTACTATTTTGATTCCTGACATCTCCTGTAGTTTTAGTTTGTTTTCGTTCTTCATATTTTTAGTGATTATCTGCGTCTTGTCTTTATTTATTTTAAACCCTGCTACTTCGCCAAATTTTGTTATTTCTTCCAACCATTTATTTATGTTGTCCAGTGGGTCTTCCATGAAGCAGACTATGTTGTCCGCAAATGCTCTTGTTTTGAAAGTGTGTTTCTTTACTTTGAGTCCTTTCAGTTCTTGGTTTATGGAGATTCTCCGTAGTAGGACTTCTAGTGCTGTAATAAATAATATTGGGGATAACGGGCATCCTTGTCTGGTGCCCTTCTGTATTGGTATGTTTTCTGAGTATTGTCCATTTATTGTTAGTGTCGCCTGTTGTACATTTAAGTATTGATGACCTATGTCCATTTCTTTGAGTAAACTTGTTATGAAATCCCAGTTAATGTTGTCAAATGCCTTTTCGGCATCTAGAAACATAAGGGCAGCTTCTTTTTGGTTGTTTTTTTTCCATAGTAATCGATCGCGTTGATTACGGTTCTTATATTGTCATTCAACTGTCATTCAATTGTCATTCTAGCTAGAAATTGACCTGCAATGAGGATAGGTCAAAGTTGTGTTGTTCTGAATTTAGTCACCAGTTAAAACCACAGCATCTTACTCTAGGTAAACTTGCAATCTGTCCTCAAACTCAAGCCACCAACACATATTGTATTACAGAAACCTGTACTAGAAGCTAATGCATGGTTGATCATGGTCAGGTCTAACATTTTTGAGAATTGACACACCAGCTGAAGCGTCAACCAAAAAAGAACCACCTATTTGGAAATTGTATCTTACTGAGAGTATTTAAATAGCTATATGCTATTTATAGAATACATTTTGGCCATGAATAGGGGATAATTACTTCAAAGTTACTTACAGGTCTTCTTCATACTATTTTTACATTTGTGAAATACAAGGTCCATCAGTAATATGACTTATTTTAATATCCTGTTTAAATTTTCCAAGTCAAATCAGATAAATCAGAAACAGCCCATACAAAAGGGAAAAAAAGTAAATATTATTTTATACTGATGGAATTCACATTATTTGGTAAATGATTCCAAAATGTTCTTAGGTGAATGGTTTTAGTTTGCATGAGTGTAGAATGGGGGTGGGAGGGGGAATGCATATTTAGGAATCCATGCACTGACGCTAAATATCAATACTGGGAGTTTATTTTAACCACTTTATTATTGGACTAGGGATGACTTGCTGCTAACTTGGGAATGGTTAAACCAAGCATTCAAAATCAATAGATAATGAATGCCTTACTTATATAAAAAGAAATCGGCCTATGGAAAAGAAGTTGCTGGGATGTGGTCTTAGAGCTTGACAAGCCTTTTTGATTTTGTAAAAAATAAACTCCTTTTACTTTAGATGGTTGAAAGTCTGATTTTCTCTGAAGCTCAAAATCCCATCCTTTGAAACAGACTACAAAGTATTTTTGCAGCATATCCAATATAAAATATTATATGTAACATGCAAATGAAATGAAAAGTATCTCCAACATTCACATATTTATTAGCATATTAAAAACCTGCTAAGCCTTGTAGAACACTACTGATTTAAAATCCACTTATATCTGTACTCCAGCATCAATACTGATATATGTTCTTCAAGTCTTTCCTTCACTATATTGTTATTTATTCATTCAATATATAGAAAAATACTATCTTTCATTTTTGCAAGCTTGCAAATACAGTAATAACTCTCTACAACCTGACGCTAAGTAAGTAGACTCTCAGTTAACCACCACCCATGGGGATTGGTAGCTTCCGAATAAATATAGTTTCTGGTTTCTTGAGAGTTACTGTTAAAATAGGCCTAATACTATATTCCATACTTATACCATAAAATAAACTTTGCATTGACTTGATAATAATATTGGAATACAGTAATTAAAAGCAAATAAAGACAAAGGTAACGTAATGTAAGACTGCTATACTGTATTATATATGTATTTTAATTTTTCTTTAAAGTCCTAGTTTTGGTTGCTCGACTTTCGGTCAACAGAGAGTCTGCTGTACATTACGTGCTACTTTTAGATACCACCAATCTGATACTGTAAATAAGCTGGGCTAAGTGATGTAGATTTGGCTTGCAGATGATTCCTAAAAAGGCAATTTATAATTTGAGGAATAAAGAAGAGAATCCATAAACAGTAATTAGAAACATGGTGCCACATATGTCAGGAAATATGTTCTGTTGTTTACGAAATGGCTGGTATCCTGTTATTATCTTATGTTTGATTGATTAGACATGCATATGCGTGTTGGGTGGCGGAGTATCATTCAGAGGTTCATTTTCTCTCCCATGTTTTACAATGACTAGTTCTCTAAGGCTCATTTTCATGCAATAACCCCCTTGAGTGGCTTTTCTCTGGTTCAGAAAAGGCACGGGGGATCGGAGAAGTCCCAGGCTGTACCCCATAGCCAAATATAAATGGATGACATCAAACGCAGGGAGACCACCAGCAGACTTCATCCTTCATCTGCTGTATATCAGTCACATAATGATCACTTTGATACACTCCCCCAAACCACTACCACCACCAACTTTCCTCTATCTATAGAATGGCCATTCAGGGCAGACTCTCAGAATAAAACTATGAGCTCAGGAAGTGGTAGGGAAGTAAACACTGCATAATTTTTTTAGAGAACTCTGATGAGAGTTTTAGAGAACTCTGATGGTGTAGGATCTCATCAAATGGCTGTTAAAATCAGATAAGGTCTTAATATTTTTCTTTGTTGATAGTATCATCAATGGCTATTTGCTGTGATATTACCTTCAGTTATTATCAGCACTATTACCATATGTGATGAGAAGATGCAATGATATTCACGTCCTGCTTGTGGACTTGCCATAGGCATCTGAGTTAGTCATTGTGGGAACTAGATTTCTGAACTAGATGTGTCTTTGGCCTTTTTATCTTTTATTTTCACTAGCTGAAATAGTTGTCTCTATTTTAAAATGCAAAACATTAAAAATATATTTTAATATTTAAAGTTTAAAGTCCAAGGCAAACTATAACTTGTATAATCGATAAGTTAAACATTCCAGGTACGATAAATTATTAAATTACCGTTTTTATTCACCTCTCAGCATTTTGCTCCAATCTAAGGTCTTTCACTAATAGTACTTGTATGCTAAGCTAATTCATACTGCCCCTATATAGAAAAATATCCAATTTTAAATTGTTATTTCTATCATTAGTCGTTTTAAAACATCACTATTGTAGGAGAGGACCTCGGACTATGAGCCTGGTCTGGGCCAATGCAGGATCTGAATCCAGCCTATCGAGGCTTCTGATTCAGTGCCCAGGTAAAAGGGAGAATAGCATGCAGGGAAATTTATACAGTGACTGATTTTACATAATAATCACAATATCTTTGTATGCCACTCATTTTTATGCAAACTGTGTAAAATCAGCTTCACATTCAATCAGCATTTCCATTTACCCCAGCCCCAGGAATCAGCCAGTGTCTTCAAGTGCCAGCTAAGATCACTTCAGTCTCCCATACCCTTCTCTGAATCTGTGAAAGGAAAGCATTTCCAGAAACCCATTTAGCCCAGCCTTAGGAGTCAGCCAGTGCCTTCAAGTGCCAGCTAAGATCACTTCATTCTGTCATGCTCTTCTCCACAACTGTAAAAGGAACAAGAAAGGAAGCCAGTGACTCTCAGCTGGAGTCTGCTGGCATCTTCTAAAAACACTTTGCTGTTCCTTCATCTTATGAAGGTTTCCAGCAGTGAACTAGGAGCGCAACACTATGTGATAATTGACTTCCTTTTTCCTATCCTGTATCTCCCACCAGTCAGCTTTATTGGATGAGCCTATGTTCTAGAATGAATGAGAGCCAAGAGCAAAACTCTTGTTTCTCAACAGTGTGCATAATTTTGTACAGTTTTGTTATGCCTTTGTTACCCAATTTTTCCCCCAACCAAATTATTTTGTAACCTCATTCCTTCAACTGCAGATCATTTTGTTTATTTTTTCATGCATCTTTTCCTGCTTTATAATATCCCTTTTCAGAGATAGTGACAAAAACTGTATTATAATTATAGTTGTCACCAAGCAAGGTAAGTGTGATATCACACCAAGTGTGATAAGTATTGACCACCTTATCTCTTGTCTGGTGATTTCTAACACTGATTCTTTTTCTTTTTCTTAGCTTTCATATATTAATTGATCCAAGAGCCTTTTTTGCTGTTATTGTCAGCCTACCCACCTCCCCATCAATGTATATGTGAAAATTGTGTTTTTCTTCTTTGCATGTACATAATTTTCTGCTTACTTACACTGGACTGTATTTTGCCATTTACATTGCTGTTTCCTACATCCAGAGAGATCATCTGGAAAACTTCACAATCATTTTGATTTTAATAACATACTTAGCCAAGAGTAGAAGAATGATGGAGTGTACTGTTTGGCAATATCTGGAGAGCTTTATAATCCCCATGTTGTCTGCTTCTCCTTTTTCAGTTTGGAATTTTTAAATGGTTTGCTTTTTAAAATGCTGGAACTTGTCCTGAGCCCTATCAAGTACCATGTTATATGTCATTATGTACATACTTCCTCCATGTTTTCTCTAGTCTCACCTTTATCTTCTTTTATCATAGGTCATGAAAACATACCATATGTATCATACAGAGAGTATCAGTGCAGAAAGTAAACTGAAGGAGGCTGAAAAACAAGAAGAAAAACAAATTGGCAGGTCAGGAGAACCTGTTTTTCATATTCGACTGGAGGAAAGACACCCAAGACGGAGTTCTGTGAAGAAAATTGAAAAAATGAAGGAAAAAGTAAGAAACAATTACTGATCCTATATTGCCCCTTAATCATTTGCAATTATATGGATTTCATTCCAAAATCCCTTGAGGGTTGGAGGTGCATTTGTAATTGGACAGTCAGGCAATCATAACCTGGAATTGAAGAGAATTGTGTTAGCATGACCCACCAACCCTTTCAGACTTCATAATCCCCATTGTGAAGGAGTGCAGAATTCAGTGTTTGATCAGTTCCTCGAGTGGCCCTGATTTTATTTGTGCTTCTTTTCCTGCCCACATTGGAGTTAACAGTTTTTGCATGGGTGAAATCAGAGGATAAGAGCTGAAAACCATGGATCAATCAATCACCTCAGTCTTTGTCCTATAGCCCAAGATATCGCCACCTCAAAGTCTCCCTCCTAGGAAATAATGGCCTTTGGTCCCTAAGCATCAATATTGTGTTAATATTAACAGTGTGTTATCATGTGCCTTCATGTCACCTATCAATTTATGCTGGCTCCTATAAATTTCATAGGGCTTTCTTAGGTAAGAAATACTAAAAGATGGTTTGATCAGTTCCCTTCTCTGAACTATACCTTACAGCAGTTGGTATTCAGTGGTGATCTCCTAACCAGATCTCCTGATCTTACTGAGCTTCAAAGATCAAGCAGGATCTGGTGCCTTTACAGTATTTAGGCCAGTTATTGAGGAAGTCAGACTATGTAGTTCACTGGCACATGTGGAAACAGAAATGAGATAGCTCGCTTTATGCTATGCTTCTTCTCTCAGTTCTACTAATAATAAGGAAATATGGCTTTTCACTTTTACATGAAAGATTCTGTAGTTATTAGTATCAGAAGAAGGAGAAATTCCATTCTCTCTGAAGAAAAAAACTAATCCAGGTGCAGATGGTGGCTAATTTCAAAAATTACAGTGAAGCTAAAACACAAAACCAACTATTATACCAAAATACAATTTGAAGAACATTAAAGATAATGTAAAAAATATTTGGACTATTAAGCCCAAGGAATGCAAAAAGACCCTGCCTCAATGGACAACAGAGGCTACTATCAAGACTGAGTTTGGAAAAATGGAATTGGTAAGGGGGTTGGCAAGGCTACAGTTTATTACTATATTTAACTTATAAGATAGATAGATAGATAGATAGATAGATAGATAGATAGATATAAAGTCAAACTAGACTTGGAGGAAGGAGGCATGAAAAATTAGAGGAAGGAATACCAATAATTTAAGATATGCAAATAAGTTAAGGAAGAAAAAGTGCAAAGGCAGGTTTAAAGTTAAAGATGATGAAATCAATGAAATAGTCAAAGATCTTCTATAGCTTGGCTTAGTCATCAATCAGAATGGAGACTGCCATCAAGAAACCAGAAGAAAACAAGGATTTGGAGGAACATTTTCCAACTAGACAGTATTCTGAAATATAAAATTAAATACTACAGTTAGAATTATCTGTGGTGTCATGGTTCCAATTTTGATGTGTGGTTTAAAAACTGGAAAGTTAAGGAAGCTAATGGAAAAAAAAATAAACTCAATTGAATTGTGTTGGAAAAGAGAATACTATGGAGTGTTAAGAAGGCCAATAAGTGGGTACTAAAGCAAATTAAACCTGAACTCTCCCTAGAGGCCAAGATGACTAAACTAAAAAAAATGATAATGCTTGGTAAGAAGGCATTGGGGAAAGAAGAAGATCATATTAAAGATGGATAGACTCAATAAAGGAAGCAACAGCATTGAGTTTGTGGGGTCTGAGCAGGACTGTGATGATAGTGTGATACTTAGTGGCGTCTCCTTCATTTGGCAGTTAGTCAAAGACAACTTGATGGTTGTGAGCAACAAATGCATGCTTGAACTTAAGATTTTCTCTCTGACATTCAGATGACAACCTGAAAAGAAGTATTGACAAAGGTATTTTACAAAATGGCTGTAGTTTTTATATTCTCAAAGTACAGTACATTTGATGTTATTTTCTAAAACATTCATATGCTTGTAATCGGTTGCACTTAAGTTAAGGTAATTAAAGCACTTTTGCCATTTTAACATCCTTTTTCCTCCCCAGCGTCAAGCGAAATATTCTGAAAACAAGCTGAAATCCATTAAGGCTAGAAATGAATATCTACTAACTCTTGAAGCAACAAATTCTTCTGTTTTCAAGTATTACATTCATGACCTTTCAGATCTGATTGATGTAAGTAATTGGTATTCATGCTATTCTTATGCTAGAGGATAATATATGGCATTTCTGTTCTTCTCCCTTAACAAAGATATAACGAATGGTATGTTAATCACATACGTAATGAAATATTATATTTTTATCTATTTTGAAGTTGTCTACAGATGGTCTGTGTATTTGTTTGTGTACATATATCACTGATGGCTTATTGGAAGAAGGAGTGTAGTCATATGTTTCATGTCAGGATCATACTCCTAACAATTAGGCTCACTAATCTATGTAAGAAATAATTTATTAATGGAAAAGTTTAGCTTGAATTTTTTTGGAAATTACAACTACAGTACACCCATTAAAACAACGTTTACTTAAGTCATGACTTAACATTCAGTGACTAATTAAATAAATCTTTGGTTGTTAAAATTGTCAACAGAATTCAGTCTTATGAAACCAAGCCGGACTGATTACATAGTCTGTTATTAAACTATGAAAATTGTATCTATTTCGAAGACTAGGTAGAGTAAGCTGTTAGCCTTTTTTTTACTTTCTTATGATGAAATATAAGTATAAAATAGATGGAATAGCTTAGTCTCAGATACAAATTACTTTTGTGCCCTTCACAGCATCATCTGAAGTATGTAATATGATGTATAATAAATGCTACCAATAGCATTCTGATAATGTCTTGCCATTCTACAAACAGTTGTTTAGGATAGTATAGATTGCCATCAGTGTAGCTTCTTGCCTGACAGAAGCTTGCAATCTCATCTCTACAGAAAGGTAGTGCCAAGTCCAAACCATTACGGAGGTTAAGATCTTCTGTGGAGGCCCTGCTCTCGGTCCCACCACCTTCGCAGACACGATCGGTGGGGACGAGAGACGGGGACTTCTCAATGATGGCCCCTTGACACTGGAACTCCCTCCCTAGTGGGATTTGATCAGCCCCTTCCCTCCTGTTATTTCACAAACAAGTGAAAGCTTAGCTTTGGGAGCAAGCGTTTGGCCCATCATAATTATCTGTGTAATACAGTAGGAATTGACCCTAGATCGAGGAATATGATTATTTGATTATCTGGTTTTGGATGTAGGCACAATAGTTGTCTAACATTTACACATGTTGTTTAATATTGTTTTAAATTGTTGTTTAATTGCTTTTAATTGTCTTTGTTTGGGCATGGAATAATGGCAATTATGTAAGCTGCCCTGAGTCCCCTTCAGGGTGAGAAGGGTAGAATATAAATAAATAAACGGTGAGATTTTCTTCTTAATGTTGAGAATCATTTAGAATAATAATTCATAATTGCAATGTTGCTATTGCTCTATTACTAAGTTTTTATCTCTAAGTCTATTACTAAGTCTCTGTTACTAAGTTTCTTTATTGCAGAAAAGTATTAAAATCTATATGTTAAATTGCTTGCTGTTGGTAATAGTTCATTAACATTTGTGAAATTTTGAAAACATTATTATGTATTATTCTTGTTGCAATTTTCGATAATTGTATTGCAGTTTGCTTTCTTCTCTTTAATATATTTTTTCCTTCTTTATATTCTGTTAGTGTTGTGATCTTGGATATCATGCCAGCCTGAACAGAGCCTTAAGAACATATCTCTCTGCAGAGTACAACCTTGAAACTTCTCGACATGAGGGTCTGGACATTATTGAGAATGCTGTTGATAATTTGGAGCCACGAAGTGACAAGCAGAGATTCATGGAGATGTATCCTACAGCCTTTTGCCCTCCCGTGAGATTTGAATTCCAGCCCCATATGGGTGATGAGGTCAGTAGCTGGTGACTCTTTAAAAACTAAACAAAAACAAAAAAAGGATAAAAGCCAAGCAAATTTTTGTTTGTGCCTAGATGAGCACTTCCTTCTGTTGTGATTGTGACTTCCTTTTTGTGGTGCTTTGCTTTTATTCAGTCAAACAAAGAGTCTAGTTAGAGTAAAATGAGGCCCGGTATTATTCATACAGACACAAGAAGATCAGCAAACAAACTAGACCAAGAATATTATTCAGAGAACATTTTGTTTGAACTTAATTTGCCAGCTGCTCTAAACAAATCCCCTGCCAAATGAAACCTTCATTACTGCATATTGAAATCTGCCACAACACTGGTAAACCTTCTGTAGCTTGGCCAAATAGCTTCCAGCATATAAGCATGGGAGAAGAAAGTTGGTTTTATATAATTCTTATGCTTCTCATGCTCCTTCTGAAGCGCCCCGGGCACATTTTAAAGTAAAGTGAGACAGCAGCTGCAAACAGACAACTTTTCAAAGACTTAGAGAACCATCTTTGCCTACAAGTAAACACATTCATTTGTCTGTGTATTTGTTTGCCCCACCATGATTTTCAGTCAGACCTGTTTTTCAAGATTTTGTAGGGATTCAAGCAAAGGTGAATTCAAGGTAAAGGTGACACTATCTTGCAGTAGTTCAGCAGGTACCTCTTTGATGGAGTGTGCACTTCACCCGTGACCCAGGATACCTGAAGGGCCAGTTCTTTTCCATCCATGGCAATGAATACTGTAGTTTCTCTTTCAGTATTTTACAGGCACGGGTGATCTGTAGCCACAGGACAATTTCTTTGATACAAATCTTCATTGTCCTTTTTCAGACGTTTTATTCCCTTACAATTGGAGATGCTGTTCATTGCATTTAAGCAGAATTGTAGGTGCCTCTGTAGTGAGCTTTTTGCTACTGCCTACAACTAATTTTTTCTGTGTTATATTCAATTTCTTAGGTTTCTCAGGTCAGTGCTCAGCAGCCAGTCCAAGGGGAACTTATGCTTAGGTATCAGCAACTTCAGTCACGACTAGCCACGCTTAAAATTGAAAACGAGGAGGTAAGATACGCCTCTGCAAGTGCTAGCTCCATAGTGGCAACAACCTGCAAATAAGGATGGAACTCTGATTGATTGTGATAGAATCCTATTCATTAGGCTCCCTTAGGAACAGTGTTTTTAGCAAAACGTGGTGAGGAGAATATCCTTATTCTCTGCTGGATCATTTATGGGGTACTTTCTGTGGTTTGTGCAAGTACTTGTTCATGTGCTATAGAATTTTAATGCTGACATTGGAATAGCCTTATTCTGGGACTTTGGTTTCCAAAAGATTGACAGTTAGGAATGCTACATGTACATGGTTATAATAATGAATATGATTATTCTGCCTATACACTTGAAATTTTATAAAAAAAGAAAGTACAAGTCCTTGTCCCATGGCCTACCCCAACCTTAACAGAAAAATATATGATTTTTTTATTTATTTTTTTTGTCTTATTCTATTTGGTATTGATTGTTGGAAACATAAGATCTACATTCAGGTCTTAATGTAGTATTACATTTGTACAGTGATATACAGTATCCCTATTTCCTATCATCATATTACATTAAATTCTAAAACTGAGTGAGTTAAGTCATTGAGGTGGAAAACAGGCCTCCTATCAGCCAACACTTCTGATAGTCTGCAGATCAGAAAAATTATTTTCCACTACTTCAAATCATGTGGCGAGCCTCATAGATAAATAAGATGCTTCTTTTCAGAAACGTGTACTTCATATCTAGAGGCTGACAGTGGCTACAGTGTAGGAATGGGGTTAATGTCCTCTCACACAGTCAATTCACCCAATTTTAGAATGCCTGGATAGGAGTTTTGCCTATCTTTCAGAAAATTAATGTCACTTCTGTATTCCTCTTCTTACTAATTCTGAAATATAATTCACTCATTCTTTTTGATTGAATGACATGCGCTTGTTAAACCCAGGTGAAGAAGACAACGGAAGCAACTTTACAGACAGTACAAGACATGGTCACCATTGAAGACTATGATGTTTCTGAATGTTTTCAGCATAGCCGCTCAACTGAATCTGTGAAGTCAACCGTTTCTGAGACATACTTGAGCAAGCCTAGCATTGCTAAGAGAAGAGCTAACCAGCAGGAGACTGAACAGTTCTATTTCATGGTATAATAAATGCTTTCCAAATTACTTAAAATTATTCTTTCAAAGCTCACTAACAGATATTGATACATGAAATGTATTGCTCTTGCAGAAATTCAGAGAATACCTGGAGGGGAGCAACCTTATCACAAAGCTCCAGGCAAAACATGATTTATTACAGCAAACACTTGCAGAAGGTAAATGGTTCAAAATAAATTGCATTGTGGGTTTTTTTTTAAAATACTGTTTATATATTAGACCAGTGGTTCCCAGCCTTTGGTCCTCCAGGTGTTTTGAACTTCTGCTCCCACAATTCCTAACAGCTGGTAAGCTTGCTGGGAGTTCTGGGAATTGAACAAGTGGAGGATTACAGTATTAGACAATTTGGCTTAGCTCATGAAACCATGGTTTCTTGCATCATGAATGAGCTTGCTTGTCTCTCTCATATCATATTTTGTATTCCAAAAAGGGAGAATGAATGTGTACATTCAACTATCAAACTAAAATACCTTTCAAGAACCAAACTTGGAACTATTTTTACTTTATTTTGATACTTTTATTTTTTTATGCTTAATTTCATCATTGTAAGTTTACTATCCATTATTGTGTATTATTTTGATGTGTTTGTACCCATTTTGAGGCATTGAATGTTTGCCTTTTTATGCCCTGAGACCCTCCAGAGAGAGATGGCAGTCTAGAAATAAAGATTATTAACTATGGCTTGTTTAAGCCAAGAGTAGGGAATCTTCCACCAAGAGGCACCAAAATCCCCATAGTAAGTGTGTATCAGAGACATCTCACAAACAAAATTATCCTACCCTAGACTAGAATAATTGAAACACACCAAGATCAAATCATCATTTCATATCATAAGCCATCATACAATCATCACATGCCAGTTATGAAGTATTTCAGTTCCTCTTCAAATAGAGGAAAAGCACAGAAATGTGTATAAATTAAAACAAAACTCTGTTCTGTTCTGTTTTTTATTTATTTATTGGCTCATGGAAATTTTACTAAGTTGTGGAGGGGTATGGAATCCAGTAACAAGTAATTATTGAAGAAAGTCTGATAATCTAATAAGCAGGATGAAATAAAAGACAAATGGAAAAACTTTCCTGTGGCAAAATTAGCTATCCTGCTGCGGAAGACCACACATGACCTATTTTGTGTATGAAATGCTCTATTATAACTCCTAGGAGTCATGATCCTTCTTTCCCTCTGTCTTTTTAAATAACATTACCTTACATCTTTTGCTGTAGTATATATTAACTTCTTCCCTGTAGACTGAAATACTGCCTCCTAATGAGCAGAATATATTCCAGACAGTCTACACGCCAGCATGGTGTTAGTAGTCTGTTCATTATATTACTGGGAAGATGTGTCCTGTATTTCAAAATGAACTCCTTGTAGAACAATTCTTGTAACAGTGGGACTTCTGTATTATCATGAATCAAAGAAAATCTCTTTCATGCTTTTCAGGGGAATTAATAATCTTGTTGTTGCAGCCTTGTGAATTTTAAAATATCTACAAAAACAAGATTTAAAATACCAATTACCAACAGAATGTAATGCTCCACCAACCTATATATCCTCTTCAGAACTTGGAAATTTACTTTTAAAAAGCGATTAGTTATAGAAACAGTTTATTATTCTAGTTTTTTTAAATAAAACCCCCTGTATTTTCATGTTTTTCAGTGGTAAATACATGTGCTTATTTTAGTTATTATTTTTGAGGAAAATCCTGCAAACTATAGTATTCAGTATTTAGAGCCAGTTAGAGCCTGCATTTGCCCATATTACTTCATTCACATCTGAGCTTAGAATCAGTCTATATAAATCAAAAGAAATGCATTGGCCCTGCTACTATATGGGATTGGATACTCTCCCCAACCCTATCTTCCATGGTTCTGTGCTCATTGGAAAGATGGTGAAAATTGCCTTGATATCCAAACAATACCATTTGAATAGTTTGTTATGAGCCCAAATGAGCTCATTTAATACTAATGGAAGTCCTTCCAAGCGTGAGTGGAACTCTGTGTAAAGAACAACTCAAACTCTCCTTTATAAGTGAATATCAGTCATTATATTTAAATCGCACTTTCACAATTCTGAGTTTAGACTTTTCCTCAAAAAATGTCAGTAGAGTTATACTTGAAAGAATCTACTATCTGATTACCATAAATATATTAATTTAGGATAATACTAAAGTGTTGATTTGATAAACTTGGGCACACATAGTTATTTTCTATATTTCTGAAATATAGTAGCAAGCCACCAAGTTCTGTGGCAGGCCTGCATAATGTATGGTCCTCCAGGTGTTTGGTACTCCAAGCTCCCAGAAGCTCTAGTCGGCTTGTTTAATGATCAGGAACTCTGGGAGTTGAAGTCCAAAACACAGGTTGCTCTACAACTGTTAAACTTCCATTCACTTAAATGAGATCCTTGTTGTTGTTCATTCATTCAGTCGTCTCCGACTCTTTGTGACCTCATGGACCAGCCCACGCCAGAGCTCCCTGTCGGCTGTCACCACCCCCAGCTCCTTCAAGGTCAAGCCAGTCACTTCAAGGATGCCATCCATCCATCTTGCCCTTGGTCGGCCCCTCTTCCTTTTTCCTTCCACTTTCCCCAGCATAATTGTCTTCTCTAGGCTTTCCTGTCTCCTCATGATGTGGCCAAAGTACTTCAACTTTGTCTCTAGTATCCTTCCCTCCAGTGAGCAGTCGGGCTTTATTTCTTGGAGGATGGACTGGTTGGATCCTCTCGCAGTCCGAGGCACTCTCAGAACTTTCCTCCAACACCACAGCTCAAAAGCATCAATCTTCCTTCGCTCAGCCTTCCCTAAGGTCCAGCTCTCACATCCGTAGGTTACTACAGGGAATACCATGGCTCAGTTCTGCAAATGTATACCCATTAAAACCAAAGAAGAACATCCAGCTACATAATGTGCATCCAGGGCCATGGCCCTATCATTTGCATGTACTTTACACTGATGCTTGACAATTTCACCAGTTTCACAAAGACATAACTCCTTGCACAAGTACAAATGTAATAAAAATATTGAATGAAAGTGGACAGCCTCAGCCACCCATGTGCTGAGGCTCTACCTTTAAAGAAAGAGAATGTGGCATGCACCTTCCAATGGAGGCAAGTCTATCCATAGCCACTTATCCCTTCAGTAGTTGTTTGAGGAGTTCTCAGAGCCGAAGTGTAGGTGATTTCTCAAACCATCCCTCCCATGATGCTTCGCCTGCAATGCCCCTTCAGGCATTTGAAGAAATCTGGCATGACAACACCTGTGGGCCATTCCACTCTGCTGGAACTGAATAAGAACTCAGCCCTCGTGTTTATAAGATGTAAAATGAAGTTACACATTCTTACATGGCATGTATTAAATATTTACTCTACTAACTACATCTACATCGATGCATATTTTAACTGAATGGCTTTTGGCAGTGTGTCTTCCCAGCCTGGCAACCTTTTTCTCCTTATTTAAACTTTGAATAGCACATTATAATAGGCAGTGTGTGAATTGAGAAGACTGCTTGAAATGTTGTTCTGCTTAATTTACACAGTGAAAACCCTTTACTCTTATAAAAGGGAGGCTTTAGAAACTCATGATAGAGTTGGAAAACAGTTCCCTCAGTATGCAAATATAAGTATCATGAAATAAATGTGAATATTTGTAGTTAAAAAATAACTGAGTATTGAAAAAGAGGGAGCCAGTCTAGTGTACTAGTGTTGGCCAGAACTCCAGGAAACTGGGGTTCAAATCACTGCTTGCCCATGGAAACCTTGCTGGTAACCTTGGGGAAGTCACACTCTCTCAGAGGAAGACCACACTGAACCAATTTTGTTAAGAAAAACTCTGTGATAGGTTTGCATTACTATTATTATTATTATTATTATTATTATTATTATTATTATTATCTTTATTTGTACCCCACTAACATCTCCCGAAGGACTCCATGCGGCTTACAAAGGCCAAGGCCCTCAATAAAAACAACAGCATAACAAATACAACAATAAAACTCATAAAGCAAACCAATAAACATTAAAGCAATAACAGTAAAACATCAAAAACAATACATCATGACACATTTAAAACTGGGGCCGGGCCAAATGTAATGAATAAATTAAAAGTGCTGGACATGACAGGTGAAATGTAAGGATTTTAGGGTAGGTGCGATGTGCAGGCCATCTTAAATCTCTGGTAAAGTGCATTTGGGACATGATGCTGGGAGTTTCCTATTCTGGAAAGGCACACTGGAACAGCCAGGTCTTTAAGCTCTTCCTAAAGACTGCCGACGTTGGGGCTTGTCTGATGTCCTTAGGGAGAGAGCTCCAGAGTCGGGGGGCTACCACAGAGAAGGTAGGGTTATCATAGTTATGACAGAAACCACTTGAAGGCACACAACATTAACAAACTGATGATGAGTTAAATATTAAATTAAATATTAATAGGAAAAGCAATTCTAGTGCCACAAGTTTAAAATTGTTCTTCCCTTATATTTTAGGTCATAGAGCAGAATATATGACTACAAGGTAAGACATTGAAAGCATTCCTATGTTTTATATTGCTAAAGTTCTTAATGAGTATGATGTTGTTACCCAAAGATAGGTATATTATTCAGTTCATTATGTAGCTCAAAGAAATCCAGGAACTTGAATCCATGCTCAGTAATGCTCACATACTAAGTGTCCTCTGACCTCCATACACAGATCTCACTGTAGACGTGTCTCTGGATCTTCAAGCAAAGAACCAGCCCTTTTAGCCAGATTGTAACTTGAATATGGTCTGCATTTGGTTAGGGAGCTCTGAGGCTCAAGAAGAAAAGTGTGTGTGTGAAGTAGTCCAGACACCTTATTAAGTTGCAACTAGAAAGTACTTGGTGGGAATGGCAGACATCAGCTACTTACTGCTTCCTATAACCCGATGTAGACTGAACAAGAAGTACATTAGTTGGTATTTTGGAACAGGACCAAAAACTGTGGACCTGCACTTCACTGCCTTTGTATAAATGAACAAAGCATGCTCTGTTTTGTGTTATTAAAACATTGGTACATGTTTGTATGTAGATGCATAGAAATATTATTCAGTCAAAATCCAAATTCTCTGAAATGAAGTTGCTTATTAAAGGCTACGAGCATGAGGGAGGGGTTAGTAAGTAGAAGAAAGAGCCCGATTTCTGCAGCCACACCCATGAGGTACCTCAGCAAAGCATGAATTCAGTACAAATCCAGATAGTTTTATCTTTTTAGTATTCTATAATTAAAGATAGCTGTTGTGTTGGTAAAGTAACTTCATTTTCTTCTTTGTGGTCTCTGAAAATTACAGAGCTTGCTTGTCTACCATATGTGTGATTTTCACAGAGACCACGAAGAAGAAGGCATGGTTACTTACCTTCAAGTGGTCATCTGTGAAATTTGCACATACCTGCCCATCCTCCCTGCTTTCTATCATGCCTTGGTTTCTTTGGCGGCTATAGGCAGTGAAGGAGCTGAGGCTACAGCCCCTTCTACTGACTATATACATGCTGGGGAGGGTGGGTTGCGCTATAGCCATAAATGGCTAAAGCTTTTCAGAAGATTCCAAGGCTTACTATGTTTGACAGAATTGTACAGTTTTTTATAATATATTTTTATAAGATATTTATTTCATGCATTTTAGAAATAAGTAAACATATTTCAGAGTATAGGTTCACAAAATATGATTAGCCTATTCATAGAAGACAAATTTTGAAGCAGGCTTTAGTTCCATTAATTAAGAAGAGCATCCCAAATTAATATTACATTGAACTGGTTCTAAAAACACAACACTGGTTTTGGTTTCCTGTGATTGCTAAGAAAGTTCTCATGCTATATGAAGCCTTTTTTTTACTTCTTTGCTTAAAGTTTTTATCCTGTTTTTCTTTTGTTTTTTCTGATTACACAGTCGAGGACGAAGGAACTCGCACATCAGGCATCAGGTATAATGCTGGTGAATTGAAAATCCCGGATTAGTTTTTGTAGGTTTTTGTTGCCTCCTAACTATTGAGAAATGCTCATGTGTTTTCAGTCATAGACTGTTCTTTATAAGGGTTTGCTACACTCAGATACTTTTGAATTGGTCCATGTTTGCTGGAGAAAACCTAGCACTTTAGTTTTCCAGGCAACATTCAGCAATTCCAGTGTGGATTCCTTCTCAGTGATAGCATTTGACCAGCTTAGTTTCAAAAGGTGATTTGATCGAGTCTGATTAGCTGTCCCAGTAAAAGCACACCATAAATGTACCGCAAGAGCTTCACATTTCTATTTGCTTCAGACAAAATTGAAGGTGATAAATCAGTTCAGATAGGTTTTATTTTTATTTTACATAAGGTGTTTAATTCTTGAAATGCATGTCTCATAAACATGTTATTCTAGGGATACTTATGGGTCTGAATCTGCAAGGATACTGATAGCAATAATTCTTATTTGCAGAGAAAAAAACTCTCTTGTATTGTTTATGATAGATATGGGGTTGATTTTGTTTCCCACCAGGACTCAGGACAAGTAATCCCCCTCATAGTAGAAAGTTGCATCCGATTTATCAACTTATATGGTGAGTTCTCAGATGCCATATAGGTTATTCCTGATGGTTGATGGTTTCTTAAGAATACTGTGGTTAATTATTATGCTTTCTTCCTAAATGTTGAACTACTTCCTAATGACATATTTGAGGTTGAAATGGTGAACCATTGGGGAGAGGTTCACCATAGCAAAGCGTGAGAGTCACTAGAATAGTAAAACAGCTTGAACAGGAATGAAACAAGTATCAAACCAGCAGGGTTCAAGAAAAACAACAGTAAGAAGTAATATTAGAATTTTACACAATAATGGGAGAAGCAATATGTGGGCAATGGAAAGTGAAGGGCTGTTTCAAGAAGGTGCTCTTGCTTTGCATCAAGCTCTGAGAGCAACTAGAAGTTGGAACTAGTGTCTCATAATGCAGTGAACTCTATCTCAAAGTATTGTAGACTTTTTAGAGGACCTGACAATTATCAAAACGGGATGTAATGCTAATAAATGAATGCCATATATACCATACATGAGCAAACTAAGGCCTGGGGGCTGGATATGACCCGCCTTATTTTCCCTGTCCTCTTGGCATAAGGACACAGTGGTCCGCCCCATCCTTATACAGAAAGGATTGGGGAAGAAGGCACTCAGCAGCTGAGAGCCCTCTGGAGTGCTCTCAGCCACCTCATGTCTTGCCCTCTTCCTGGCATAAGGACAATGCAAGAGGCCCCGTCCTTATGTTGAGAAAATGGCCCGAGGAAGACACACACCAGCAGAAAGCCCTCCGGACCACTCTTGGCCATCACCTATCTCACCCTCTCAGCATAATGATGAGAGGACAGCCCAAAGATCACGGGAGGAAGATCAGGGCAGTTGCCGCATGTCTCATTTTCCTCCCAGCATAAGAATGGGGTAAGCAGCCCCATTCTTATGCCAGGAGGACAACCTGAGGATGATCCGGGCCCAGCCCCACCCTCTCACAGGCCCTATCCCTCCCAGGCCTGTCCCACCCAGCACATGCCAGCCAGCTGCCCTCCCTCCTGACCCAGCTCTCAGTCGGGCCCAAAATGTGGCCCCAAGGCAAAAAGGTTTGCCCATGCCTGATAGATACTCATGTATAAGTTGATCTCACATATGAGTCAAGGACAGATTTTAGGGCCAAAATTATGGGGGTGGGAGCTTCTTGCCTCTATCCTGTGTCATAACGTTTGTGTTGGGTCCCTATACCAGCATTGACCCATGTATAACATTTATGCTGAGTCCCTATACCAGCATTGACCCATGTATAGAGTATATACAGTATGTCAGTTGTTATTTTCCATTTGCCATAGATTTGAATCTTAATACTCAATGTATATTCTCATATTTCTTTATTATTCTTGTTTTTCAGGTCTTCAGCACCAAGGCATTTTCAGAGTGTCTGGTTCCCAGGTGGAAGTCAATGATATTAAAAATTCATTTGAGAGAGGTGATTATATTTTCCCCCACACGCATATATAATCATATTTTGTTCCATTTCAGTAATATAAGATCCAGCATTCTAAGCTTTTATGCTTCCATTCTTTGAAACTTAATCATTATTGCATATAATGGTGTTCTGATAAGAAAATGCCTCCTAGGAAGCCCAGATTGGTGGGTTGGTACAAAACCAGAGGTGGAGGAAGCAAGATATCTGGCTGCACATGATTCTACCTGTCTGTCATTGTATGAAAAGTTGTAATTTTCTAGGAAGACATAGAAATTTCGAAAAGAATAAAAGCTGGGTTGCTGTGAGTTTTCCAGGCTGTATGGCCATGTTCCAGAAGCATTCTTTCCTGACATTTTGCCCACATCTATGGTAGGCATCCTTAGAGGTTGTGCGGATGCCTGCCATAGATGTGGGTGAAACATTAGGAGATGATACATCTGGAACATGACCATACAACCTGGAAAACTCACAGGAATCCAGTGAGTCCAGCCATGGAAACCCTTGACAACATCAATGAGTAAAACTCTTCTTGTTTTTAAAATATGCAGCAATTGGTTATGCTTGGTCATCATATCAGAATGTAGATGGGAGTATGGGATGGGATTTGCCTTAGTATTCCATCATATTTTTCTTTTCTCAACTTGAAAGGTAACCCAACATGTTAGGGTTTAAAAATACTCCACTTCAGTATTCAGTACAAGTATATGGACTTACAGTCCTCCTGTCTGTTTCAACAGATTTGCAGGTTCAAGAAAAAATTGACAATTGCAAGGAGGGGTGATTGGCTTCAAAGGTGTGATTGTCCTTGTTAATTTTGAAACAGTATAATCCAAGGGCATATTTTTCCCAAATGCTTGAATTGCATCTCATTTACAGTTAGAGGTGATGGTGAAGCTCTAAAGTTGAACGTTCGCTATAATAAAGTATGAAAGCATGTTAGAATAAAGGAACAGTTTGACAGTAAATGATGTATGTACAAAACATGAAGACGGTAAGATTAGGGAGAGGCATTCTTAATTGAATAACAATTGAATATACACAGTGGTGGAACAGGAAGTAATAATTAGCAGCGGGAAGGAGTAAGAAAAGACAGAAATTAAGGCTCTTACTCTGGAGAAATCTGAAAGATGGTCACTGCCAATTTCTAATCCATTTCCTCTTCCTATGCATTTTCTAGACTTTTAATGTTCAAATAAGTTATCTGCCTATGGCTCTTATGTTCTGTGAACTTAAGTTAATAGGACAATATTTGTTTGTTATGCTTTCTGAAGAAGTGTTTTGTTTTTAAAACTCCTTGTGAAGGTCATTCAGAACATTAATGATTTTTCTAAAAAATGTGGCCAATTCAAGATTTGATTTTCTGAATCCCAGCAATTAATGCAGATTCACATAAAACTGTAATTATTTAATGAGTAATAGCTATGTGTGCGTACACACACATGTTCCCTCCTTTGGCATCTTGCTGGCTGTTATTTAATTTGGTCAAATATGAATCATTTCTTAGCTAAATTAATTCATCAAGGAAAAGCAGTTCCTTAAATAATTTTTTTCTTGTCATGAACGACTTGAGAAACTGCAAGTTGTTTCTGGTGTGAGAGAATAGGCCGTCTGCAAGGACATTGCCCAGGGGATGCCCAGATGTTTTACCTACCTTGGGAGGCTTCTCTTATGTTCCGCACGAGAAGCTGGAGCTGACAGACAGGAGCTCACCCCGCTCCCCGGATTTGAACTGCTAAACAAGGGTTTAATCAATTTCGCCACCAGGGGCTCCCTTCAATAAAATGAAAAAGCAAGTTTTAAAAAATCAGTTAAGCTCTCTAATACAACAGTACAAAAAAAACCCAAACGTCCCAGAATGCGTCCCAAAATCAAAGCCTTTGCACAACAAATTTTATCTTCGAAGCTAATGTTCTTGAAAAAAGCCTGCTTGCATTTTTTTTACATATTCAATGTTATGCTGCCAGCCATGGATCTCAATAATAAATGCTTGCGTCACAGCAGATTAAGTTGCATAAGTAAATCTATGGTCTCAGACCTTCTTGAAATGGTTGTCCACAAGGGCTTACTAATGTTCCAAGGGAATGTAGGACTTGTGTATTTCTACACCCTCATGTTTCTTGTATTCTTAATATTTATATTGTTTTATTTCTTCTCTCGGCATCACTTAATTTTTTAAGCTAACTTTACCAGAAATTCCTCTTTTGTTTAGCTCCCTTTCAATGATCCTGCACTTCAGTTTGCCTTTTCCCAATGCCCTCCCATTAAGTCTGGCAGGAAATCATCTCATTTTCAACCAGCTTGAGAGGCTGATCAGAGTCCAGCACAGCTGGGGCAATTGATTCTAAGACACCAAAAGTTAATGCTTCTAGGGTGAGAAGCATCACATAAACCAGAGAGTAAAAATAGAAGTGTTAGTTTATCATAGAAACTGATACTGTTAAATCCATTTGTTTTCTTCAACCCAGTTCTGGCTTTCGTATTATTGCTTGCTTGCTTCCCAGCTGCCATTGTAGTCCTTTCTTTGCCATGACTGGAAACGGTCTTTGCATTGATCATGTTACTTTTTTATAAATTCTGGGAGGAACAAAAGAAATATCACATCTTGCCTTGTTCTTTGTGGTATATGACCGCTTCACCTAACCCTCCTTGTCCAGTCACCTTGAGCATTTGATGTTTTCCTCATAGAACAGAGCACCACAGAGTTTCAGATCTGAACGCTTACCTTTGAAACATTACATTGTATGTTAAAAGGCTTAGTAGAAAAGGGGATGTTATGGAAGAAACCAAAAATAAATGGTTGACATTATAATCCTGTTTTGCAAATCTATGATGCAGCTATATTTCATGTTCTGGCCATGGTGTTCTTCCTCTATAGACACAAATATAGCAGATTTGGAAAAGAACAAACATCATTGTTATTATGCTGGAGCAGTTTCTCTACCGGGAATGTATAAACTATTAGGAAGATTAATGTCAAAAAGTGACAAGTGATAGTGGACAAATCATAGGTTTATACAATTATGTGGATAAAATGTGGATAGACAGAAAGCACTTTCTCTTTCTCTCTTGTAATATTGGAACTCAAGGTCACCTTGTTTATTTATTTATTTACTATATTTGTATTCCATTTTTCTCAACCCCAAAAAGGACTCATGGCGGCTTACAAAATAGGCAATAATTCAATGCCTTAAAAAATATATACAATAAAATAAACATTTCAATTAAAAAACAAGGTTACAAAAAATTAAACATTTAAAACATTACAATTACTATTATAAACCATGCTATCCGCTGTCATAATCCAGGCCATTCCAGCAGTTTATTGCACATTATTCCAAATCCATCTATTGCACTGTATTGTTTTCCAAAGGCTTGATCCCAAAGCCACGTTTTCACTCTCTTTCTGAAGGTCAGGAGGGAAGGGACTGATCTAATATCACTGGGGAGGGAGTTCCACAGGCGAGGGGCCACCACTGAGAAGGCCCTGTCTCTCATTCCCAGCAGTCGCGCCTGCGAAGGAGGTGGGACCAAGAGCAGGGCCTCTCCAGACGATCTTAATCTCCAAGATGGTTCATAGGAGGAGATATGTTTGGACAGGTAAACTGGGCCAGAACCATTTGGGGCTTTATAAGCCAAAGCCAACACTCTGAATTGTGTTTGGTAGCAAATTGGTAGCCACTGGAGCTGACTTAACAGGAGGGTTGTACGCTCCTTATACGCTGCTCCAGTGAGCAATCTAGCTGCCGCCCACTGGACCATTTGGAGCTTCCAAACAGTCTTCAAAGGCAACCTCACATAGAGCTCATTGCAGTAGTCTATTTGGAATGTAACCAGAGCATGGACTACCGTGGCCAAGTCTGACTTCCCAAGGTACAGGCACAGTTGGTATACAAGTTTTAACTGTGCAAATTCTCCCCTGGCCACCTCCAAAACCTGGGGTTCCAGGCTCAACAATGAATCCAAGAGAACTCCCAAGCTGAGGTGAATGGAAAATTCTGGACAAAGAAAAGGAAGTATATCTTTTTTTAAGCGGAGTGTGGAATCTGCTACATGATATTGAAATGTCCACCAAGAGGTGGCTTTAAAAGGGGACTAGGAATATTCATGTAGGATAATGCCATCTGTGAACATCATGGTTACCTGTGCTATCTCCGGTATATAAGACTGCATGCATATATGACTACATTTCTGGGTAACAAGAGTGAGCTATTGTATTCATGTACTGTTGCTAACCACAGACATCTGGTTGACCAGACCAGAACAGATAGAACTTTGGTCTGAACTAGCTCTTGTAAGCCTTTTTGCTTTCACTCTGATCCAGTCAATGCCTTTAAACAGTCCAAAGAGTATATTATTTGTCCAAGTTATGAAGTGATTTGTCTTCATTAAATATAACTGCAATGAAATGCTAATGTTCTTTTTAAAAACTAGTTAATGTGTCAATTAACTAGCTAATCATTTCACCATTTAACTAGTTAATATAGCCATTAAAATGCAGAAAGTTAACCAGTTGCTATTCCTTTAATCTGCTGCCAGCCTTCTTTTAAAAACATATAGTTTTCAAAATCTTGATCTTTCTCCCTATGTATTTAAAATCCAATCTTTATAAATATAATACACTGCAGTGCACATGTTCTTTAAATCTCTTTAATTACTCTTTCAGCTTAGAGAAAGATGTGCAGATTGGTGAAATCTATGTTTGGTATGTGACTTGACTGGAAATCATTGCAAAGACCTATTTAATGTTGCACTCTTTAAACAAATGTTCTTGAGAAACTCTTGGGACTACTAGAACTTGATTCAAGGGAACATTATGAAATACATGGGTTTTGTCCGTAAATAGAAGAAAAGGAACTTAATACTGCATAACTCTCCCAATCTTTTCTTTCTGAAAATGTAAGACAGAGGTGAATACTTGCAGTGGATTGGAGTGGGGGTCTGCCTTCTGGGACTGTTAAGGAGTTTCATGGGTACCCAGAATGGCCCCAAACCCCAAAATGGGGGCTTCATGTGGCCTAGTTTAATGTAAGGCATGGCTAGGATATAACAGCAATGAGGTTATCTTAGCCTTAAAAAAAATTAAACCACACATTATTATTTATTTACTACAGTTCTGGATCTGTGCAGTGAATTCTAGCATGTCTGTAAGTATTTCACTTGGTCTGTCTTTACAGGTGAAAATCCTTTGGCCGAAGACCAAAGTAACCATGACATTAACTCAGTTGCTGGAGTGCTGAAGCTTTATTTCCGTGGGCTAGAGAACCCTGTATTTCCTAAGGAAAGATTTAATGATCTTATTTCTTGCGTCAGTAAGTAACATTTATATTTACTGTATTTGAATTTTCATGGATATATATATGTAGAGAGAGAGGAGGCATATGCACAGAAGACCAGATTAACTACCATATATTTCCTGGCCTGGGATCTGATATTAAGTGTGTTCATCCTATTTTACTCAGATATATTCCTGATTCCAGTCTCTTCACTCAATAAAAATGCCTATGACCAAACCCTCAGTTTGGAGCAGCCTCCATTGGGAAATTTGACTTGAAGTTGTTATGTACTACATCTGGAAAGCACTATAGATTAGTTTAGGTAATATTATGATGAAGAACATAAAATCCTTAAAATAAATTGGTCACCTTGAAATATCCATCTGTTACGTTTGTTCTCTGTTCAACCTACCAGTGAAAGTACCCTTACTGAATAGAATACTGGATATAATTATCTTTGATTTCTTTGTAATATAATATTAAATAAATTGATTTTTGTGTGTGTGTGTAGAGGACATGTCGAAGAATCTCCCAATGTACCATAAAATTAGCTGTTTAGCTATTGTTGGGACTAGTCCAATTTAAGCTGAGCACATTTAATAGTATAAACTGCTGTCACTTGAAATGAAAGTGTAAGCAAAGTAGAACAAAACAAATGTTTTTGGACTGCAGCCACTATGGTTTTTCACCAGTATAGTTCATAGTGAGAGGTTGGGCAAGTTGGGGTTCAACAAAGTGAAAGCTCACCATTTGCTCTTGCAGCAAACATATTTCTGTTTAAACTGACTCCATTAATGTAAGTGGAACATCATATAATTAACTTGGTTGTAAATGAAGGTCAAAGTCTATGTGTGTTTATGTAATACTGCCCTTTAAGATAGGGGTTCCCCCTTACCAGATTGCTAGCACAGGGGGACAGATTGAGACTGAGACCGTTTTGAAAAGTATTGCAGTCCCTGTTCCTTCGCAGTGGAAACTTAAGGCTCTTCTACACTGCCATATAATCTGAATTATCAAATCATATAATCCACATTATCTGCTTTGCACTGGATTATGAGTCCACACTGCCATATAATTCAGTTCAAACCAGATAATCTGGATTTTATATGGCAGAGAAGAAAGAGGCCTGAAGGCCCTTCCATGCAGCCATATAACCCAGAATATCAAGGTAGAAAATCCCATAATATCTGCTTTGAACTGTGATATCTGAGTCCACACTGCCATATAATCCAGTTCAAAACAGATAATGTGGGATTTTATTCCACTGTGTGGAAGGGGCCTCAGTTTACTTACACAAAAAACTATGCTAGCAATTTATGCAATTAAAAAAACCCTGCAAACACATTCTGAATTACTCAATAAAGTCATACATAATTTGTCCCTGGGATTAGTCAATGTGGATAAGGATTCTTGTGTCAAAGAATCTTTCAAATTGCAAGATATCGTGGTCAGTAAAGGAACAGATGTTTTCCTTCCATCTGAACTACTTTAAATATGAACAAAAGACCTAAAGAAAAGACATGTTTTGGCTATGTTGTAGCATTTGGAACGATTGTGTAAATAATACTGACAGGGAATATCAGAAAGGATTCAGCTGCCATCACATAACCAGAACTATTTAAGTCATCTATTTGTGCATTACAGGAATAGAAAATCTCTATGAGAGAGCTCTTCACATACGTAAACTCATCCTGACTTTGCCAAGATCAGTCCTTATAGTGCTGAGATACCTCTTTGCCTTCCTCAATCAGTAAGTACTTCTATCTTCCCATGAGAACATTAATGGTGATTTTTTAAAAAGAAGCTTATTCCACCTTTGTTATAACATAGAGACAGCTATTTTGTTGACAGCAATGATTTTTCAAGAAAATGGAAATTTGCTCTTTAAAGGAGAGAAATGTCAGAAGTAGCAATAAAGGGTGGTTTCAAAGTGGGATTTATGGAAACATAAACAAAATAGCCAGAGGTTTGCATAATTGCAAATTTGAGCTCTTGAAAGTTTTAGTGATAATAATGTCAACAGGCCCTTCCCAGTACGTTCTTTAGAATGGGGTAGCAATACTGAATTTTTGTTTCCATCACTACAAACAAGTTGAAACTGAGCATCTTCTCTCTATGTACCTAGTGCCTGGTAATGTAGGTTTAGGGGTGACCTATGATCATGGCAGTAGGGCTAAAATTGTGACTTAATAGTGGCAATAAATACAAAACACTTATGAATGAGCAAATCCAGGTAATCGTATCTAGTATACTTAATTATATAGCTGATATGGGATTCTGGCCATATTTTTTGCTTATTTTATTTTTGAAAACACAAATACATTATTTCAAATGTTTTCTCCTCACTGGGGGAAATTGTAAGAGTTTCCTCAGCCAGCAGGAAAATAATGAAAGCTATTTTCTCAAAGGATGAGAAAATTATTGTTTTGAACAATGTATTGCATTTCAAGTTTATTAGCACACAAGAAGTGAACAGTTGTTTTACATAGCAATATTGTCCTTTCATATATTGTTTGAGGCACAAAAATTGGACTTTATACAATAATTATTTTTAGACTCAGACACACAAAAAATGGAAATACAAAAAATCTTGCAGAGAATTAACATTTTTGACAGCACATCTCAGTGTGTCAAGGTACTCGTTCATTGAGAGAATCACACACTTTGTAAATGTGCTTTGTGCTCCTAATGTAAAGCCACATTTGCATGAATAAAGTGCACAGAAATACAGAGAAATAGTAAGAATAATCAGAAGGGTTTTTTCCCCAATAATCTCCTCCTATAAACCAACTTGGGGACTGCGGCCAGCGGAGGAGGCCCTGCTCTCGGTCCCACCCACATCTCAAGTACGGTTGGTGGGAATGAGAGAGAGGGCCTCCTCCATGAGTTCCCACCTCTGGAACTCACTTTCTAAAGAAATAAAAATAGCCCCTTCTCTCCTTCAAAAACAGCTGAAAACTTACTTTTGCTCATTAGGAGGATTAAATGATGAGAGACCATTGTCAGACCTTGGATTGGAAACTATTATTGTATTTGGACTCCATTAACCCAATCCGTGTTAACCCAATTAACACCACCGTACACAAAACCAACCCACATATCTGAGTGAACCTTTGTTGGCTCCTGTAAATGAATGTGGATGATTGATGTTTTATATTTAGGTTTTATGTTAGATATAATTTTTAGATAGGTTATGTTTTATTTTAATATGTACATGTAATGTTATATGTTATTTTCACATGTGGAGTTATTTTGGGATATTATGTCTACATTTGTTATTGTACTGAGGCATTGAATGTTTGCAGTTTTGTTTGTTGGAATCCACCGTCGGGGAGATAGGATGGAATATACATAAAGCTGCTGCTGTTGTTATTGTTGTTATTATAGTAGTAGTAGCATAAATTTCCACATGGCTTAAACTTGGGCTGGGCAAAGTGCACACATTAATGGAAAGATGGAGCCTGTCAGAGTTGTGAGCTAAGGAAATTAACATGAGGAAACGGACTCTGCAGTAAGGCTGAATGGAAAGGAACTGTGGTGATATCAATTCAGAGCAGAAATTGGCAGTATACCAAATCACATGTGTTCTCAACATTTTTCTTAAAATAGCAGAGGCAGAATGATTAGATCAAATAGCAGCTGAATGCATTTCAACCGTTGGCTTTTCTTAAAAGCGTGTGTGTAAAAATTTACTCTTAATTACAGAAAATCCTGTCTGGCACAGGCAACAGTCAACTGGTTTAAAAAAAGAAACACGTGCAGAGAACTCCATTCTTAAGATAGCCCCATTCTAATCTTCATATATTAAATATGAAGGTCTATGAAGTGGAGAAACAAAAATGACAGTAAAGAGAAGTCTTTCTCTCTGATGCCATTTAGAGAAGTACAGAAAGAAGTGTGGATGCACTGTATGTTCATGGGAAAAGAGAAAGATATTTGAGAAGTAGTGCTAAACAAAGATCAATGGAAAGAGAAAATGAAGTGAGAATACAGATATTTGCTAGCACAGAGAAAGATGATGCAATGGAGAGCAAGGAGGAGATGCTCTCCAGGTGGAAATAATGAAGGGAGGAATCCAGAGATATTGGTGTGGAGTAGCAGGTGAGGGAGACAGGGAAGTACGCCATATGATTCAGAGAGGAAAGGAGTTTAGGGAAGGATAAACACGTATGAGTTAAAATGGCAACATTTTTGGGTAGAGAGATAGTCCTTTTGAGTTAGGAAAAAGTATAACAGTAGCCCAACAAGTGCTGGATCCTCACCACCACCACCGCCCAAGCAGCTACCACTAAAAGCTCATAATTTCTTATCTTTGCTTAGAGGAGAAAAACGTTTCCATATGTATGGTTACCCACTTTAATGTTTCTTGCAATTCAGGTTCTTTATTATTTTTGCTCATCAGTGCTTAATCCACTCAAAGTTGATCTTCTTCTTTAGATTTTTGACTGATTATTCACAATAATTCTTTAAAAGAAGTAAGCCAGATATTTTCATATCATTGCCAGTCAGAAAAATGTTTCTTAATTAATATGATAGAATGTGTGTATTAATGAAACAGCAGTACATGAAACCTAACATTAGTAATGAAACCTAACAGAACAGGTTAAGAGAGTAATATGTAAACGATGTCAAACGTATGTTTCTTGTTCCCTCCTTTTCCTTCCTTTTTTCATCTTTTTAAAAACAGTCTATCACAGTACAGTGATGAAAACATGATGGATCCTTATAACCTGGCCATTTGTTTTGGTCCAACACTGATGCCTGTTCCAGACATACAAGACCAAGTGTCATGCCAGGCTCATGTAAATGAAATAATCAAAACTATCATTATTCACCATGAGACCATTTTCCCTGACATTAAGGAGCTTGATGGCCCGGTTTATGAAAAATGTATGGCTGGTGATGAATATTGGTAAGTCTTCTAGTCTGTCTTCTCAGTAATTTTGGCCAGGTTTTCTAAGAGTGACCCTTAACTCAGCCCCCCAGTAATCATGTGCAGATTCTTGTAACTCTGGGTCAGCTCCCATAGTTATTAGACACATATTTAAAACAAAAGCCAGAGTAGTGTTGTGGTCTGGGTTTTGGACTGTGACTGCCTCTGGAGACCAGGGTTCAAATCCCCTTTTTCAGCCATAGAAAGCAACTGGGTGAAACATCAGCAATTTCAAATGAATGTGTTTTACCTTGTGTGATGAACACCCCTTCTTTGGAGGCTTTTAAGCTGAGGCTGGATGGCCCATGAAATCTCTTCCAACTCTATGATCCTATGATCTCTCATTTAGGAGAACAGCAGACAGAAGAGCATGATCCCGACCAGCATCAGGCCCTTAGACTGATATGAAAGAGAAAGAGCATTCATCTGAGAGTTCAAGTCAGTTAATCCTACTGTTTCAGAACTGACAGCTGGTCATTTAAAACAAAGTCATGGCCTTTGAAATAAAGAGGAACACAATCCTGTGCACGTGTCCTCAGAAATAAGTCCCAGAAGTGTATATAAGATTACATCCTAAGGATAGTAATTCTCCCTTTAGTAAGTGAGCCACACCAACAGCTATTTGTAGTATGGCTAGCTTTGTACATTCTAAAGGTTCAACCAGTTCATCCCCTACGACAAGGATAGAAGACCAGCAGATATGTTGGTGACTGATTAGAGTTCCAACCCAATATGATCTCGGAGGGCTATAGATACCCTGTCAAAAACCTATGATTTTAAGCCTGAAATAAGAGTCATCCATTTTAAATTCCTCTGGTTTCCTAACCCCATAGTTGAGTCATGTCCTACTATTCAGCTCAACAATTCCTTGTGGAAAAAGAGAGGTTACCAAGACTGTGGTGCAGCTGGCTGCATTAAGATCACTACTGACCGAAAGGTCATGAGTTCGAAGCCAGCCCGGGTCGAAGTGAGCTTCCAACCAATTTGTGTAGTTTGTTGTCGACCTTTGCAGCCCGAAAGACAGTTGCATCTGTCAAGTAGGAAATTTAGGTACCACTTATGTGGGGAGGGTAATTTAACTAATTTACGAGGCCATCAAAATCTCCAATCATGCGGGGAATAAGGAAGTACTTCATCGGTGTCGCAGATGGACGGTGAAGCGACAGCTCGCCTGGTGGCCAGAAAAAGTTGGAATGTTAAATAGCCTCTGACTGTCTGTCTATATATGTTGTGTGGCTATGGCATTGAATGTTTGCCATGTATATGTACATTGTAATCCGCCCTGAGTCCCCTGCGGCGTGAGAAGGGCGGAATATAAATACTGTAATTAAATAAATAAATCTGTTATGGTCTAGATCACTGGTTCTTAAACTGTAGGTCTGGACCCCAAATAGCCCAATGTTTCTCAACCTGAGGGTCAGGACCCCTGGGGGAGTTACAAGGGGGTTTCAAAAGGGTCGCCAAAGACCATCAGAAAACACATATTTCTGAACCCCTTTGACAGAGAAGGCTGAAGATCTTTCCCCCTGTCCTTCTCTTTTTGGAAACAGATGGCGAATCCTCCCACCAAAAGTATTCAGATTTGGGCGTATTGGGTATTTGTGCCAAATTTGGTCCAGTGAATGAAAATACATCGTGCATATCAGATATTTACATGACAATTTATAAAAGTTGCAAAATTACAGTTATAAAGTAGCAACGATAATAATATTATGGTTGAGGGTCACCACAACATGAGGACCTGTATTAAGGGGTCGCAGCATTATGAAAGTTGAGAACCACTGCCTTAGCCCAATTTGGGATCACAATTTTTTTTTCTGAATATTACCTAGTGGCTGTTTTAGAAACTTAAATGAACCTGTTGTGCCATGTTTACAGTGGTCTCTGCAGAAGATGCTTCTGCTGAACTCCACAAAAAGGAAAATCAGCCTGTTTAGCAAGCCTTGCAAATGTTGATTTGTTATCAGTAAATGTTTGGTTTTTATACCTCTTTTATGTATCTATATACCGGGGGGTCACATAAAAAAATTATCAGGCCAAAAGGAATCCTGAGTGGGAAAGTTTAGATAGCCCTGATCTAGACTGTCTGTGAGTAGATTTTTTTGAAATGACAGAAAGGAACTAGTGAAAGTATTTAAAGATGGATGCAATATTTTGTCTTACCTCAAAACGATAAGTCATATTTGTGGAAGAGTTTGGTTGAAATCTAGCAGCTTGCTAGATTTTCGAATTACAAAATATTAATTTGTGCCATCTTACTTTGCAGTGATAGCCCCTATAGTGAGCATGGTACCTTAGAAGAAGTGGATCTGGATGCAGGTGCAGAGACACACACCAGTGAAGATGGTATGCTAGCTTTTCCTCTTGTTTGTAATGACCTTGTCTCTCTTTTAAATTGAACAAATACGGAATTCACAGAGGAAATGCTGTTTTCCTCATTACCTCTCATTTTAAATGAAGAGTCCCTGACACAGTGTCCTTTAATTCAAGTATGTGTGTGTGTGTGTGTGTGTGTGTCTGTGTAGATTTTGTTTTCTAACACTGGCCCATCTGTCAATGGCCAGCTGTTTCCTTGCTTTTTTCCCCTGATTGTCACAGTTACAGGAAGGTCAAATGGGGAAAAAATCTGCATTCCTCAGCACAAATTGCTTGTTCTTGTAATGTTACATTCTCAGGGCCATTTTCTGCTGTGCAGAAAATTATGGTCCACATCACTACCTTCAAGTAAACAGTATTGTCTTCCATTACAAAGAAAAAATACAAGCACTCTCTCTTCTTATTTTATTTAACTAATGAATTTATTTATGAATTTATTTATATCTTGTCTTTCCCCTGGAGGATGACCCAAGGCAGCTCACTAAATGACACTATTAAATCCCAACAACATTTGAACCGTGGGTTGCTGTAAGTTTTTCAGGCTATATGGCCATGTTCCAGAAGCATTTTCTCCTGACGTTTCACCTGCATCTATGGCAGGCATCCTCAGAGGTTGTGAGGTCTGTTGGAAAATGGGGTTTGAAAATTTGAACAACAACTAAAAGCATCACATTAAAACAGTATAAATTATTTTTAAGACATACAGGGTTTTTTAATAAAAGCCTCCCTACAAACAATGTGACATCATTTCTGCATTTGGGGTCCCCTCCCCCAATTAATTTTATACACTGTTTTGGGGAGGTTTAGGGGCTGGGTGATTAGGGGAGGCAACTATTGTCTTTGTATGTAGTTTTGGGATAATTTGGGGGCAAACAATTGCCCTCAAATCAGCCCAATTTTTAAAAAGATTTGGATTTTATTTAATTCACTGTTCTGCAAAGCTTCTTCTTAAATCAAACAATGATAAATATTTAGTTATTTGTTTATAGAAATAATTAGTTATCACAAGTCTAGGGAAGCATCCAATGTGTTCCATTTGAGTTTTTTTTTCTTAGAATCAAATTCAGTCATTGCAACTTGATGATGTGAACAAGATCCAATTTATCCTAACACACTAACTTGCCATCTGGATGGTCAGAGTGAACAGAAGCAGATAGATCAGGCATGGGCAAACCTTTTTTCCTTGGGGCCGCATTGCGGGCCCGGCCGGAAGGAGGGAAGATGGCTGGGTATACACTGGGCAGAGCAGGCCCTGGAAGGGGAGGGCCCAGGAGAGGGTGGGACTAGGAGGGGCCAGAGCAGGGCCCAATCAGCCTCAGGTTGTCTTCCCAGTATAAGGAAGGGCTGCCTGCCTGCTGCATCTTTATGCTGAGAGGAGGGCAAGACATGCAGTGGCTGAGAGCTCTCCAGAGGTCTCTGTGCCGCTGTGCCTTAGTTTGCCTATGCCTGAGATAACTTCCTCACTGTGTGAGGGAGATATACATGCCCACTGACTTTTAAAACCACCTTGTTATATACCCTCCATGAACACAGAGGCATGTGAAAATTCCTTGCGATAACATATAAAGTTCTACATAGCCTAGGGCTTAATAACTTCAAAGTGCATTTCTCTTTATACATACCTGTCAGAAGTCAGGGGATTGCTGAAATCAATGTGTCAGGCTAGTGGAAAGGGCCTTTACTGCTGTAGAACCTCATTTGTAGAATATCCGTCCCTTGAAGTCTGATTTATTTCAACACCAGCTTCGTTTTATCCAATCTATATTATTATTATTATTATTATTATTATTATTATTATTATTTGCTTTGCATTTTCAGATTATTTAAATACTTCATCGCTGTTTTAGATTCTAAGCAAGTAGTTCTCAACCTGTTCCCAGATGTTTTGGCCTTCAACTCCCAGAAATCCTAATGGTAAATGGGCTGGGATTTCTGGGAGTTGTAGCCCAAAACACCTGGGGACCCACAGGTTGAGAACTACTGTTCGAAACTATTTAAACTAGTTTTATTGCATGCTATTATTTTCCTATAGGATAAGATATTAATATATATATATATATATAAATAAATCTTCTATGCATCATATTAAACAGCTGTGTGAGATAAAATACAACTTCAGACTTTCCCCGTAGTGATGAAATTAATGTTATCCACTTTTCTGCATTGCGGGAGGGAGCAAATTAGTATGATAAAACATACAACAGGAATAAGAGACTGAGCATGACTGAGAACATAGCATATAAGGAGATCCATGAACCACCACCACCCACCCCCAATAATCTCTCACAAATTACAATACAAACATACATCCTGAGAACCTACTGAAAACAGGCAATAATAAGAAACAATTAGAATCACTATCGGAACTCCAAAGTCACTCAATCTCATTCATAAATATCAAAAGATTATGCAATAAATTTTCAGTACATGGTATCTCCATCCAGGATATAGTTTGCAAAATATTGGGGACAGCTGCAACTATGGAAGAATGAAAAACGAAGCTCATGGAACTCCCCAAAATGGCTACAGAATCAGGATGTAAATACTTTCAAAAAAAAGATTGGGAAGCATTAACCGTCTACTTGGAAAATCTGAAAATAACTGGTTTTTTAATTTGAATAAAGTCAATTGAACTGACAAAGGATTCAAGTTGAACAACAGTTGATGGAAATAATCTTCCAACATTATTGAGAACACAAGGTGGAGTTGCTTCTACCAACAAAGATCAAGTTACCTATCTTCTTTTCCATTTCTAAATTTTTGTAAATAGAATAATATACTGAAAATAAATAAAAAAATAATGTTTTAAAAAAGAAAAACAAACTTCTGTTACCCCGTGATGGATAATGGAAGCTTCCTTCCTGGGGCTAACAGCTGTCTTACAATATAGTGGAATGTGGGTGGAGGAATTCTTTATAAGTTCGCAATGATGGGGGAAGGATTTAACCTCATTCCACACATGCCACCCATTTTATTCTGCCTTTTGTTAAAAGCAAAAACAGAATGCATGAATGCATTTAATGTGACAACTGTTTTGCTGCTTTGGTAAAAAAAAAAGAAAGGACAAAAACTGGGATGCAGCACACACCTATCTTGGGTTGATTGATAGCTTGATGTTGGGTTTGAGACTTTACTAAAATATTCCATTACTTTTATATATTTCAAAGTTATTTGTTTCTTTGAAAGTTCCTTTCCAATACTTTAGACAGAAATTGTTCTTAATATCATGTTTGTATTGTGATCAACATGATCACAATACCTACATGTGATCTCGTCATGTTGGAAAGCTTCAAACACTTTTGGAAGGTGTTTAGTGCTGCCATATCTATAGTGATGATATTCAACTGCACCACATATAACAAGTTTACTTTAAAGCAGCAAGGCAAAATATTTTTGTGGTAATTAGCCATAGGAATGCATTCACTTGGACTGGCTTTCAGAAGATTGGCCCAAGATCAAAATCATAACATGTTTCGTCAGCAGTATCTAAAACACTTCAGGATTTATTTTGCTCTAGTTAAAATATGAATAACACAGTTTACTATATCTGTTTCCAAAGGAAATGAGAAAGAATTTCCTGAGGAAGCCCCAAACAGATGGATAATAGCTGGTGTTGAATTCACACAAAAGGGATTCAGTATTGCTTTTGGCATAAAGTGCTGTCTTCAGATGATGGGGGGACGGGGACAATGACAATAATGGTCAAGGAAGTAGTTCTATCATGATCCAAATAAGCAGCTAAGGGAGCTGTTTTGTTATTTTCTGGCACTATAGGAACACTATATATCATAAGGCTTCTCTTACCAAATCTCCCTGAGAGACACTGCCTTTCTCTTTGTCTCTGCACTGTTCACCAGACGAATGGATTTTATTTCTTCACAACTTGCCTGGCTTCCACAACCACAAACATACACTGTTTATGCTGAGTTCACATTGCTACAGAAAACTGGTTTTCAGGACTAAAATCATACAATTTTTCTCTCCCCCCCCCCCCCCCCCCCCACTACAGAATGTGAACCCATAGAAGCTATTGCCAAGTTCGACTACGTTGGGAGATCTGCACGAGAACTTTCTTTTAAAAAGGGAGCTTCCTTGCTTTTGTATCACCGAGCTTCCGATGACTGGTGGGAAGGAAGACATAATGGGATTGATGGCCTTGTACCTCACCAATACATAGTGGTTCAAGATATGTAAGCAAAAACTAATTTGAATGAAATGCCAAGCCATTGCTTTCCCCTGGCATGCTCAGTAGTTGCTCAGCCAGCTGGAAGATTCTGAAAGTGACTAGGAAAAAAGCTACACATTTGTGCTTTTCACTGGGCTCTTAGCCAGAGATGTGGAGCCTGTATCTTTGAGTAAAGCCATCATTTCAATTTGCAGAATTTTTTTGTGCATGTCAGGAGTAACTTGAGAAACTGCAAGTTGCTTCTGGTGTGAGCGAATTGGCTGTCTGCAAGGATGTTGTCCAGGGGATGCCTGGATGTTTTACCATACTGTGGGAGGCTTCTCTCATGTCCCTGCATGAGAAGCTGGAGCTAACAGATGGGAGCTTACCCTGCTCCCCGGATTTGAACCACTGACTTTTCGGTCAGCAGTCCTGCCAGCACAAGGGTTTAACCCATTGCACCACCGGGGGCTCTAAGTTGCAGATGTTGGGAAGGGAATAGTGGTACTCTGCAGTATTTCTCCCAGGCTCCCTGTCCATCTCCCCTTTCTTTGAAATCAGAGTTCTGTGTAACAGGCAATCTATTTGACATTCCCTATAGTAACCTGCCCTCCCAAGGTGCAGTATTGTACAATCACCAGTGGTGAAATGAAAGTAACTACCAACCCTTGGAAGCACCCTTTCATGCTTTGCTTCAGAGAGCCAGATGTCCTGCTCTGTAGCAATTCCAAAGCTGTGAAGTAGGGACACAATAAACCGAGAGCATGTTTGCAAATGCTGAGTCTTGGCAAGCTTTGATGCTACATCATCTCTTTTAATATTTTTATTTATATTTATATATATATAGGGAGGCCCCGGTGGCGCAGTGGGTTAAACCACTGAGCTGCAGAACTTGCTGATCAAAAGGTTGGTGGTTCGAATCCGGGGAGCGGGGTGAGGTCCCGCTGTTAGCCCCAGCTTTTGCCAACCTAGCAGTTCGAAAAGATGCAAATGTGAGTACATCAGTAGGTACTGCTTTGGTGGGAAGGTAATGGCGCTCCATGCAGTCATGCCGACCACATGACCTAGGAGATGTCTACAGACAACACTGGGTCTTCGGCTTAGAAATGGAGATGAGCACCACTCTCGAGTAGGGCTCGACTAGACTTAATGTCAAGAGAAAACTTTTACCTATATACACACACTTTCTATCTCTTTAATCCAAGCAGGGGTGCTGGTCATAGCATTTAAGGGCTGTATAGAAGAAAGCAAAATCCATTATTACAATGATAGTGTTATCTTTACTTTACATGGAGATAGCATATTTCCTGTTTCTCTTTGAAGACCAAGTTTTCTAGTTTCTGAAAGTATCACTATTTTGATAAATAAATGCAAAGTTGTTTTGTATGTTTACTTCACATAATCTCACCTTGCTTCTGTTCTAGACTCCAAAATGCCCTCAAAAAAAGCTGTAATTAAAAACTAAATTTTACACCAGAACTGATGTGCAGGGGCATTCTGGCTGCAGAGGACTTTTGATAATGTTTATACTGTAAAATGGGTTTTATTATACATTCACACAATGTCTTTGGAAACAGTAATAATAATGACTGTTAATAAAAATGAGACATTTGGAAATGAGAGGCAGAGGCAAGAGGGTTAAAAAGATGTGGGCTCCCATTTTTGTCTCATTATATGGTCAAGTTTTATTACAAAATACTGTGATGTTTTCTTCTTAGGGATGATGCATTCTCAGATACACTGAGCCAAAAAGCAGATAGTGAAGCCAGCAGTGGTCCAATAACGGATGATAAATCTTCATCTAAGGATATGAATTCACCAACAGATCGCCATTCTGATACACATTCAGGAAGGTAAATTCAATTCAGTACTGGATATTAACTTGATTCTTCTATTTAAATTTTACTGCAGCATCCCAATTATATCTGCAGCAAAACTGAAAGATGGCAGTGATGTAGGGCAGAGATGTCAAACTCATTTTCATCAAGGGCCATAGCAGCCTTAAGGCTTCCTTCAAAGGGCCATTGAATCCATGGATGAAGAATCCGTGGATACAGAGGGTGAACTATAATTTTTTTTACATAAAGATCAGCGCTCTTTAATTTTTACCAAATTTAGGTCCTTAGGTGTTAGTGAACGACAATTCCTGTCACTCCGTCATGCAGATTGGGGGTAATGGGAATTGCAACCCAACAGTATTTGTGGGTCTGAGGTTGAGGAAAGGTGAAAGGACATTTTAAAGTCAGACATCATATCCAAAGCTTTGTATTTAAATTCAAATCACATTATTCTGACTAAACAGAAAAAAAAACTACAGCCTTCCAAATGTTACTGTGTCGCAATACCCTTCAGGTTGAGTCATGATATCTAATGATAAGGAATTCAGGAGTTGTAGTCCAGCATCTGGAGGGCCCCCATAAAATGACGGGGAGGGGCTGATTTGGCTTGCAGGCCTTGAGTTTGACACATCTGATGTAGGGGATGGAGCCAGGCCTCGCACAATTGAAATTCCACAAATTTTCAATTAGCTGGGACAATGACACCTTTTACTACCCCCTTGGGCTTCCTTGTTTCTTCTAAGCACAGCCAAAATCCTCACCAATAGCACTGCATTAGGGCACAGCAAATGCCTTTGTCTCACATGACTCCCCTTTGTCTCTTTTCAGGCAACGTAAGAAATCTGAACTCCCCTTTTCCGGCAGACGTCCTGGCAGGACCAGTGATGGACACTGCCCAGTGCATCCCCCCAACAGCCTGGCCAATTCATCTCTGGAGTTGGGTTCCCCCAGTTTGGCAAGCCACAATCCTTCTCGCACTGTCCTGCAAAACCGCAACCTCAACACCGACAGCCCAGAAAGAAGGCGCAGACCTGGCCATGGCAGCCTTACTAATATTAGTAGGCATGAGTCACTGAAGAAGATAGACAGTCCTCCAATCAGAAGGTCAACATCATCTGGCCAGTACCCAGTTTTCAATGACCACAAACCACTTGATCCAGAGTCAATTGCTCAGGTGGGTTTTGTCTGTAAACTTATGGATTGTTCTTTGGTTTTGCTCAGGGCATATGAGTTGCTTGTGATAGGTATTATATAATGTTTGATAGACAAACTATATATGAGATTGTATTCTCTTTAATCACCCACCACCATTTTTTGGAGTTAAGTCTCTAATTTCCATGTCTTGTAAACTGCCTGTCCATCCATGCTTACAAAGGGTGATTTATTTATTTATTGCAGTTACAGTGTATGTGTTCATATCATTTAGGTAATAATAAGTATGTTTACTTCTGAGTTGTTGCTGTATTTATTATTCATGAAGGCTAGATATATTTTATGATACAGGTGACAGAAAACTCTTCCTCCTTTCCATATTTTAGTTAAACTTGATTTCCATTATTAGCATATGGGCATTTCTTTCTGTACTTTTCTAGAGCAGCTGTTATTTTAAAAGGACCTGAGGCCTTTGGAAAGTTACATTTACAAAAATATCCATAATCCTGTATAGTTCTTATGCTTTACCCTGAATCTCAGTGAAATAATAATAATGCACTTTATTTATATTCTGCTCTATCTCTCCAAGGGGACAAAGGGCAGATTACACACAGAAGCAAACATTCAGTGCCTTGTATACAGTGAACAATGACATACAATACAGAAACAAAGGCAAAGGTTTCCCTTTCCACCTCCTGCATTTGGAGGCAATGCTCAACTTTGGCCATGGGGAGGTGCTCTTGTTCTATTTTTTCATTCTGAGGAGCCTGCTGTCCGTAGACCCTCCTGGTTGTGTTGCCGGCACGACTGCATGGGCACCTTTTACCTTCCTGCCAAGACTGTACCTGTTGATCTACTCACATTACATGTTTTTGAACTGTTAGGTTGGTGGAAGCTAGGGTTAACCATGGCCCACGGCTTCGAACTGCCAACCTTCCAGTCAACAAGGTTTTTTTTGCAGCTAGCGGTTTAACCCGCTACGCTACTGTGGCCCCTTTTTTTGTAAATGTCACACTCCCATTTAATAGGCTGCATTTGATGTGATTGATGGGCATTTGTTTGCTCAGGATGCAACTAGCTGCCATTTCCACCCCTTCCTGTGACACTGTTGCTTATCCCATAAATACAAAGTTTTACAAGATGCAAGACAGAAAGTAGGATTGGGAATTTTGGGGTTTGGAATTGTATTTTACTGCTTGCAATTTGGTTAGGTTGAAAGATTGGTTTGTGTTGATAAATAAGAGATGAATGGGTCTGGAAGGGCATGATCTGAAGTGTGGATAATTATCATCAGATGAGTTATTTTATACAATAATCATTAAGAAAGTTGCATATCAAATGTAAATCCCTTTCTTACTTTTTTTACTATCTTTGTCCCTTTTTACTATTTTTCATTTTTTCCTTTTTATCTTGCATTGTATTAGAAAATGCTTAATAAAAAAGTAAAAACTGCTGCTATTATAGCAAAGTATCTTTGTTGATTGGCTTCATGTCAGAAGAGAAGAAACTGCCTTCGTTTGTGTTGTGTTAGGTTGCTTTATCCCGTAGATGGAGAAACTGCAGCCCATGGGCCACATGTCTCCCCCGTCACCTGCCCCAATTGCTAGGAAGCTGTGAGACCTGCTACTAAAATTCAGCAACATATGTTGTCTGTAACATGGTGTACCCCCCCCCCCACACACACACACACAAATTGGTGGCAAACATCTATAGCTTGAAGGAGCATAGGAGAAATTCCATCACCTACAGAGCCAAGCCACTGGCACCTTGCTATGGACTAGTCACTAGATCCTAAGAACTGCATTTTCCAGCGTATAAGGCGACTTTTTAACCCTGGAAAATCTTATGAAAAGTTGAGGTTTGTCTTATATGCTGGGTATTCATGATGATGATGATGATGATGATGATGATAAATAAAATCCAAGTCCCTTAGTGGTGTGGCCTGAGGAGGAGGAGGAGGAGGAGGAGGGTGGAGGGCACAGGGAGGAGGAGTGGCAGGTCGCATTGCCACAGAGAGCGACCGGGGGTAGTATCCTGCTGGGCTGCCTCCGCTGCTCTCCCCGCTCTACTTTCAAGGCCCCCACCGCTTTCCCTGCTCTCCTCCTCCAAAGGCCGCCAGGCTTGCCTAGGCCCAAGGAAGTGCCTCCAGACTACGACTCCTAGCTGCCATGGGTGGTGGTGGGCCTTGGATGTGCCCGCTGAGGCATTTTGGGAGTTGGGAACTACTTCTCCCTCCCTTCATCCTCCTCCCTCCCTCACCTTGCATTAACAAAGTTTGCACTTGGGATTTCTCATGACTAGATGGACATAGCATTGGAAGAGAAGTAGTCTTACACGGCGGGTATATCCCAAACTCTGTATTTTATCTTGATAAGTTGGGAGTCGTCTTATATGCCCAGTCGTCTTGTACGCCAGAAAATACAGTAGAAAAAATGTGGAGGCAACAATTTTTATAAACTGGTTACTTCCTGAATGCTTGGCCTTCTTTGCCCATTGCCCCATTCCCCAGTGCTTTGGAAATTCCTCTGTTGATAGGGCTGCCTGGTTTCTAAGGTTGTTTTGCAGGAGCACATTTGGTTCTTGTCATAGTACAACTGTAAAGGTGAATTCCAAAATCATATGGTAGGTTTATGACATTGTAAATTCTGAATAGGAAGGATGGCAGTCTATGTTTAGAGTCCACAGTTTAGACTCCACTATAGGCTTTTACTTCTTTTCTCTTGTCAGACAAAAATGTAGTGTCTATTGAAGTTATCCCCAAAGACTTTAAGAGAAAGCCATGGGCTAACAGCACTAAAATGAAATCACATTCACACCAATTGGGCCTCTAAGTTGGAATCAATCTACTAACAGTGTGCCATAGTAAAGGAAAGAGGGGCATTCTTTCAAGCACTGCAGTCCCAAATTGATTAAGGCTTTAAATGTTATCATGAATACTTCAATTCAGATCCAAAACATTGCACTTAATTACAGCCCTGTGAGGACTTTCCTATGAGTAAATCCCATTAAACTCAGTGGGAAATTATTATTCAGGAAGTAAGAGACTGCGTTATAGGAAACATTGAAAACAATGGGCCTTTATTTTTCACAACCAACTTTTGATGTTATTGGAATGTAGTCAGAATTAACTGAAGCTAAATTGGAGCCAACATTTTTCTGTTCCATAAATTTGTAGTGGCCACCTAAAAATGTGTCCATATGCCTAACAGAGGCGCAAAATGCCTCTATTAAGGCACCTCAATTGGCTGCCAATAAGTTGCTGGTCCCAATTCACGGTGCAAGTTATGACCTACAAGCCCTAAACGGTTCGGGCCCTGTCTATTATTGGGATTGCATCTTCCCCTATGAACCAGTGCAGGTTCTGCAATCGGCCGTGGAGGCCCTCCACTCACTTATGCCACCGTCACAAGCATGGTTGGTGGTGACGAGGGAGAGGACCTTCTTTGTGGTGCCCCCCCCCCATTTTGGAACTCCCCCTCCCCCAGGGAGATTAGGAAACCCCTACATTGTCCTCATTATTGGGGACCTGAAAACCTGGATATTTCAGCAGGTTTTTGAGAATGACTAGTCCCTAGATCCTTTCCCTAGGCTGTTAAGATAGTACTCTGTTAAGCACTTGATCCACTTTCCCGGCCCTATGATACACTGTTGCACTATCCCTTGTTCAGGCCTTTTATAGTTGGTTGTGTTCATTTTGTAATTCTGGCCATTGGTATTTTAAAGCTGTCTGATGGAGCTTTAATGAAATCATTTTTTAAAAATTATGTATGTTTTAGTATTATGCATTTATTTATTTATTTACTGTATTTATATACTGTCCCTCTCAGCCCGCAGGCGACTTGGGGCAGTTCACAAATTGGTACCAAGACCATAAAATACAATTAAAACATTAGAATATTATAAAACCATAGCAACATTAAAACAAACATATATAATTATATATAGTAGGATTTTATGTTGTATGATGTTTATTTTAATTTGTCTGTATGGTTTTGTTTTCTGGCAATTGAATGAAATTGCCCTGAGTCGCCTTGGGGAGATAGAGCGGTATATAAATAAAGTATTATTATTGTTGTTGTTGTTGTTGTTGTTGTTGTTATAAATACTACTGTTGTTTAATCATAGAAATGTATGTGCTCATGTCACACTCACAGTAGTAATAATTCATGGCTCTATATTAATCTACAGCAAACTTCTCTTCCCCCAAACAGGATATTGAAGAAACAATGAACACAGCTCTGAATGAACTCCGGGAACTAGAACGTCAGAGCTCTGCAAAACATGCTCCTGATGTAGTGCTGGACACTTTGGAGCAAATGAAAAACCCTCCTCCCTCCAGCACCATCTCCTCAGAATCACTGAGTCCTCATCACAATGTCCTCCTGAGAAGCACTGAGCCTCAGATTCGGCTAAGCACTAGTTCTTCCAGCGACACTATGAGTACCTTCAAGCCCATGGTGGCACCCAGGATGGGAGTGCAGCTGAAGCCCCCTGCACTTAGGCCCAAGCCCATCGTTCTTCCAAAAACCAACCCAAGCCTAGGCCCATCTTCTCCTTCTCAAGGTTCAACAGACAAGTCTTGCACCATGTAAAGACCATGGGATGAACTACCATGACAATGGAACACTGATAGCTGTCTGGACTCCATCACACCTTTAATTTGTGTTTATAACTAGAGAACTTGTTTTTCAGGGTTTTTAAATGTAATGTCTCAAGCTACCTACGTTAATGTGGGCATTTAATATGGGTGCAATTTTTAAACTGGACAACTCCGTATGATATTGTGAAACAACAAAAACACACACTCAGTTACTTGAAACTTCCACACAGCACCTTTTTTCTAAGAGAAGCACTACAGGTCACTGCCAGCCTCCCATGAAGTTCAATAACTTTACACTGACTGTACTTTTTAGACCTCACAAGGAGTTATTATGAATGGTGATTTGAAATGAATTTATTCCTTTATTATCTTCTATTTTCCTTCTAATATGAAGCAGATTTTTATAAGGGCTGAGAGTTTGCATCTTGAGACTTATTCAGCAGGTTATATAAAATGAATAGAGAAGGTAAGGTAGGATCACTCTGACATTACCTTCAAAACACTTGGTATAGGCATTGGTGGTGGGAAATGGGGAATTAGTTTTATTTCTCACTGATGTAGAAGCTGGCTTTCCAAATCAAAGTGAAAGCTTGTCAGAATGGCTGTAGACTGATTTGTAATGGTTGCACTCAGGCTTTCTGCATTGCAATAAAGCTAGATTTTTAGCCACTGGTTCCTTCAGATAACTATTTGCAAACAATTCACTATTTAAAATGTTTACATTCCTATGAGCCAATTGTTTGGGTATCTCTGCAGATAGAAAGTCTTAGTTCGCTTGTGATTTGTAACTAAGCATTCCTGGAAAGTTTGAAAGATAGTTGTGAAACTTAACAATTTTGAAGCTGCTCTATCCTTATGGTTATGGAACACAACGTATGCTGGTTGTTGGTTTTGTCATTCTTTCACTTATTAAAATACTTACCTATTTTAAACTGGAATAGCTCCTTCTGTTGAGGCAATAAGTTCACAAGATGATGTCGGTTTCTGTTCTAAAATATGAAAAGAACATATCACGATCACTTTTCTCCCCAAATCATATCAGTACCCTTTATCCTGTGTGTATATATGTGAGAGTGAACACTATGAATACTGCTGCACCATTTGGAACTTTGATCTTAGTGAACTAACTATGCAGCTGTCTTGCACAATCCGACACTAAGCCGTATCATTTCTGTGATTGTTTTTGGCAAAGTCACCTCTCAACCCCTCACAGGAGAGTTTTTGTATATAATTAATCAAGCAACCAATTAAGTAGAATGTATTGTTGAAGGCTTTCATGGCCAGAATCACTGGATTGCTTTGAGTTTTCCGGGCTGTTAGGCCATGTTCTAGAAGCATTCTCTCCTAACGTTTCATCCACATCTAAGGCAAGCATCCTCAGAGGTTGTGAAGTTTGTTGTTAGGCACTGCAGCCAGAGAAGTTAACCATAGCAGAGCACTCTGTGGCTACACAGAAAAGCCATTGAAATCTACAAGCATGTCGACAATCTCAACAGAAAGGAGGAAACCATGAAAATGAAAAAAAATCTGGCTACCAGTATTTAAAAACTCTAAAATCAGGACAAATAAAGAAAGAACAACACTGAAAAAGCAGGGAAAATCTAGACAAGAAACCATCAGGGCCAGCTAATCACCTCCCAACAAAGGATTCCCCCAGGCAGGAAGCAGCCAAGTCTTGAAACTGCAAGGCTATTCAATGCCAATCGAGGTGATCAGTTGCAGCATTCACACTTGCCTCAAACAGACCGTTCTTTTTCCCACCCTGGACACTATTCCACAGATATATAAACCCTACTTGCCCTGTTTCCAACAGACAGGATGCCTGCCATAGATGAGAATGCTTCTGGAACATAGCCATACAGTCTGGAAAACTCACAGCAACCCACTTAAGTACAACCATAACTTCTATCTTCAGAGTATAATACCTTGAGGGAAAGATGGGGTGAGGAGTTGATGGGTTCATTTACTACCCATCAGAGCAGACAAACCTGAATCCAAACGAAGGGGTTCATTTTTCACGGCACTTGTCACATTAGGAGCTTGCTATTCTTCCATCTAAGTCCTTCTGTTTGGCTACTTTGAATGGAAGAAGGCAAACCATCCTGTGATGAGAATGGTTAGCACGTAGCAGTCGAGGGGCATTGTAGCCTATTCTAGTTTCTTTGCTTACTCCCACTGAAATATAGAAATTATATTTATGGGAATGAGGCATGGGCATGACAAAGACATTTTAAAGTTTCCTTCTGAAGAAGTCCACAAACCAACCTGCACGCATATAGCGGTATCTATTATTTGTGACCAGAAAGAAGGAAAAATAAGAGACTTTATATAAGCTTCCTGTCCTAAACTAGAAGTACTTTTTCTCCCTTCAGTCATCAACTGAGTAGCTCTTTACAAGCCATGAAAGAGAAAATAGATCTGCTAGGTGGTTTTCATTTATCTGGCAGCTCATAGAGTAGAAAGAGACCTCGTAAGCCATTCAGTCCAACTCCCTGCCAAGAAGCAGGAAAATCACATTCAAAGCACCCCCGACAGATGGCCATACAGCCTCTGCTTAAAAGCCTCCAAAGAAGGAGCCTCTACCTCACTCTGGGGCAGAGAGTTCCACTGCTGAGCAGCTCACTAAGATAACAATTCACTTAAAGACTTCCAAATATAGTGTATAGAATTGACATTATTTGCAGCAGGACACTGGTAGTAAAGAAATGTTATAAGGTGCAACTATGTAGAGAGGAACTCTGTCATATGTCCCTTGAGTGCATCTTGGAAGCTTAACTAAGGCCCTATATTCTGTGCTGGGCATTTAGCTAATACTGTGATGGTTGAATTCTGTTCTCACACTAGCCTACATTGGGAACCCCTGGGACAAACTGGTACGCCAGCTTTCTTTTAAGTGCATTCTTGCCTAGCTATTTTTTAATTAACATATTATGTGGCATAATCCAGTTGGGTGCCCGTATCTTAAAATTTCATAGAGAAACCACGTGTCCAAATAATTGTACTGCCCTCCATACTGCTTATATTAGAAATTGTTTAGTGAAGAAAAATAGTAGAAACAGTCCATTTCGTGAATGCTCGCAGTTTGAGCCTTCACGTGTAACATGAGTTAAACGTGTGTAGTTTGATGGTTTATTATAGCGACTTCAAGTATAGTGAATGGGTATGTAGCAGGAAAGACTGATCAAATCACAGGCATAGTAAAGGGTAAACGCCTGTCTACCTAATCAAATCAGTATTGTCCTTGGCTGTCAGTTTGATAGATTGCAGTGCTGGTATCTCCCTGCTTGTTGACTGTTGCCTAATTGTGTCAATGTACATCTGTAAGTATGTACATGTGAAAGTGCCTTTACATTTTTAGAGAAGCTTTAGCCTTGCTCTTGTACTGTTGCATTTCCATGTCATTTTCTGCTGCTCTTGTACTGCTGCATTCTCACTGCATTCCTTCCATTCCCGAATAACAGAAGAGTTACAGTTGCACAGTCCTACAAGATGGCAAAAAAGTACTGTTAAGCTGTTGTGACAATGCACTTTTTATGTAAAGTACTGTACATTTGAGCATGTACCATTGCAGGCTTCAATATGCATTCAGATTTTTTTTTCTCATAAGTGTATCTTTATAATAAATAAGAATAGCTTTCTCTGTCGGTTTTGTTTTCAAGGCGTCTCATTATCAAGGCCTTTTTGCATACATTACCCCTTCGGGTTCTCTTCCTTTGCTGTAAATAAGATCCACATAACATCGTGTTTCTCTCCTTATATGAAGGGAAGTTCCAGGAGGAAGCACAACCTACAAAGAAAATTCAGCAAATGCTATGTTCAGCCAAGGACAAGAAGGATTGTGCTGTCACACGCTGGGCCTGTAGCAATTGTCTATTAACAGGACGTGGTCTCTATATGCCCAGCGGGACGCTGGGGTGCCTCGGCTGAGAGGCCCTATGGATTTCCCTATACAAAGTCTTTAGAAGCTTAGAAAGTTTAACAAGGTTCTTTATTAATGCTTAAATCTTCAACAAATCAATCAAACACTTTAAAACTCTAGAAAACTGGTAGCTTTCTTAATCTACCCACAAGGGACAGGCAACTTGCTTCAAGAACTGTTTCTTCTATAAAGGAAATCCTTGACCCTTCCCTGGGCAATCTGTTCTTAGGCTGGTGTGCGGCAGCTAGTTACCTCTCAACAAATGATTCCCCCAGGCAGTAACAAGCCACACCCAAAAACTGTTAGGCCATCAAATGCTAATCAAGTTGCCAATTGAAACATTCACACCTAGCTCCAATAGACAAGAGTTCTTTTTCCCACCCTGGACTTTCCACAGATATATAAACACATTTTTTCTAGTTTCCAACAACCTCTAAGGATGCCTGCCATAGATGCAGGTGAAATGTCAGGAGAGAATGCTTCTAGAACATGGCCATACAGCCCGAATAACTTAGAACAAACCAGTTCCAGGACAAATTTAGACCATTGATTTCCTTTGTAAACAGGCAATACTGGTGTCTCAGGGTATTCTGTACTAACTGGGTTTAACAGTATACAAGATGAGCAGGTAAACAAACAGTCACACAGATGTAGTTTATCATCCAGCCCAAACATTCATGAAGACAACTTCTGCTAGGTAGCATAACAGACTTGGATCACATTTCCCGTTCGCTGCCCAAAATAAAACCGAACAAGCTATCCCTTTAAACCAGTGGTTCCCAACCTTTTTTTGACCACGGGCCACTTGACCAATGACAACTTGAACAGGAACTTCTTTGACCAGGGATCACTCTCCAACATTAGTACCAAAAGGGTTACAAAGCAGTTTTTGGTCAGCTTTAGATTCGTTTTGGTTATTTGGGGTGCTGATTCAGAAAATTGCATTGGATAGACCACATCAGCCCTAGTTTCGGATACAGAACATATATCACCCTGTAGTTGCCATCTGCTCACTCACAGAAAACCATATTTAATAATCTAGAATTGATTTGGTAGTAGTAATCTTTTGTGTGTAGTCAGCCTCTTGTCTCCCAATATCTCTGTTGCCCTGATGCTATAAAAGGGTTTCACAAGACCAATCGCTCTCGCTGCGTGGTTTCGAGGCAACAGTGTAGTAATGTTGGGGCCCGAGACCATATTTTCATTCTTGTGGACCACTGGTGGTCCACGGATCACATGTTGAGAACCACTTCTTTAAGCCATTGAACCCCCTGTGGCATAATGGGTTAAACCCTTGTGCCAGCAGGACGGCTGATTGAGGGGTTGGTGATTTGAATCTGGGGAGTAGGGTGAGCTTCCATCTGTCAGCTCCAGCTTCTCATGCAGGGACATTAGAGAAGCCTCCCACAGAATGGTAAAATATCCAGGCGTCCCCTGGGCAACTGCAAGTTGCTTCTGATGTGAGAGAATTGGCTGTCTGCAGTGTCATTGCGCAGGGGATGCCTGTAGGAGGCTTCTCTCCAGCATGGGAAGCTGGAGCTGACAGACAGGAGCTCACCCCGTCTTACAGTTTGGAACCGCCAACCTTCAGGTCAGCAGTTCAGCTAGAACAAGGGTTTAACCCAGTGTGGCACCGTGACTCCTTGTATCATTGGTTACCTTGGCTTGATCAAATAGGAGTTGAAACTCCCTGGCACTAGCCGTTAAACTATTCTAAGGATTGTAAGGAAGCAAGCTTTGCTGAAAATAATGTTGAATGCACTCTGGAAATAGTTGTGCTGTACATACTTACAATTAGTTCACATTTGAAGTCATGCTGGCAGATTTCCCCACACAAGCATAACAGGTGCACTCACAATCATATGGCAGATATAAAATACAGGTCAGAAGTATTTAGCATACATTGGCACACGGAGCACTGCCTCCAACCATAAGGCTACCCCTTGGAGAGGCAAAGAGCCTAGCAGGGGAGAGGGTAGCAAATTGAAGTGTCCACGATAGAGGCAAACCCAT